AAAAGTACAAGTTGCAAATGAGATTAAAAAGAGGAACTCGGATCATACATTGGAAAGACCCGTGAGTTTTAATGAGTAATTCCAACGTTTAATGCCTCTAATTACATGAAATGTTTACAAACTATTTCATGCCTGTGACACTTATGAAAATTCAGAGATAAGATTTTGGCCTAAAATGTATTTAACATACATTAAAATATATTTAAAATGCACTGATGGTATAGTGGTATGTGCAGAACATTATAAGGCAAGACAGTCCCCTAAGAAAGCTGCTTGTATTGGATTGCAAATAAAATGGCTATATTTGTGTTGTAGACATTGTGATCCCTGGTTTCTATCACCACTCTAAAGAAATCAGACGTAGTAAGTTTCCCTGGAATGCACCATTTGTCTGTTTACATTTCAATTAATGAATTATACAGATATTTTGAAAAATCAGTGGAATTTCCCTTTAAACGAGTGACCAGTCAAAGATCTGGTGGACTACTGGATGTGTCAGACATGTACAGGTTCAGAGATGTGAGAATGTGGTAGGTAAAGTGTTCTATACCAATGTACAACATGATTATAACATTGAAAAATAAATTAGAAGTTCATGCAGGGGTTGGTCATGAAACTCATTACAAAGGAAAGACGTTTGAGAAAGATCTAATGGCAGGTTATTAAAAACACTGGAACATCCGGTGATGCTTTTCATTGCAGCAGGATGGCAAATGGCACATGCCAATGTTATCAAGCAAGTCCAGACAGCAGGAAAAACTATATCAGGAATACCTCATCAGGGCCGAGATCATATCAGTTAGCAAGTGACATTGCTGAGTTTCATAGTGGTTTGAGGCTCCTTCACATCAGGTACCTCTCTTTTATTTACTGAGTGGTTGTGACTCAGATCTTTGGGAGCACGTCTTGCTGTGTGTACAGCTGCTGTTCCACTTTGCTGTCAGCACCAGCTCCATGTTTACTTCACTTCTATCTAGTCTGCAGTAAGCGTGCCACAACAGTCAGAGCAAACTTTTGACATTTGCTTACCGTTGAAATAACTATAGTCAAAGTAAAGACAAGGGGAGCCAGTGAGGCTTTTAGGTTCCCCATGTCACACCCCTGATCCCTGCTGGAACAATGAGAACCCTAGTAGTGCAACAGTGATCAAGTAATATGTGCCTTGTTGGACTAAACAAATTGGGACTCTTCAGAGTTATGAAACAGAATGAGAAAATTCTCATGATGTGATTCATGCACATCCTACTGGTTGTTTGCCCTGAATGTCAAGGAGAGCAGTTGGAAAGGGTGCAGCACTGAGCTTTGAAAATCATTTCCAGATATTGTACATGTCCACTTTTGTTCCAGCTCCAAAGAAAGAAGAAGCTGCCGTCTCCATTTTGAAAGAGAAAATTAATTCAGAATATGAGTTTTTTGTTTTGGTCCATGAAAGACTTTTCCAAGCCCCCTGCCCTCCATACCCAATGAGAGAAAAACATGTTTGTACAATCTCCTAATTTTTTGTTTTTCTTTGGAGATTGTATGTTTGAAATATGTATAGTGTGGTGGTCACTAACCTTGCTTCTGGTGATTTATCTCCTGCAGATTTAGCTCCAAACTTTTATCCACCACAGCCGATCTATCTAATAATTACTCTCAAAAGTCCTTGATTAAACTAAATGCAGTGTAATTTAGGTAATAGTAGGTCTATAAAGAACAGAGTGGAAGTGGTAGGTTTATGAGCAATATGGTGGAAGTGGTAAGTCTATGAGGAATACAGTGGAGATGGTAGGTCTATGAGGAATATGGCACAGATGGTAGTTGTATGAGGAATACAGTGGAGATGGTACGTCTATGAGGAATACAGCACAGATGGTAGTTGTATGAGGAATACAGCAGAAATGGTAGGTCTATGAGAAATACGGTGGAGATGGTAGGTCTACGAGGAACAGGGTAGAAGAGGTAGGTCCATAAAGAATAAGACAGTAGTGACAGATCTATAAGGAAAATGGTGAAATTGGTAGGTCTCTGAGTAATAGCTCTCCCCTCTCACTGCCACCTGCTAGAACTGATAGTTTATAGTAGATGTTCCAGCATACCACCATTCACTCTTATAATGCTGTAAACGTTTTGCTGGAGGAAAGACATAAAAGATGTGCTTGAGAGTTTTAAGTTTTAGTGTTCTTGACCTTGTTTTTGTGTTGTTAGGATTTTTGTTAAGACTGTATTTCAGACTTTTTTCATAATGAAAATAAAATAATTTAAAATAATGAAAATACTGATAATAATAATAAAATAAAATAGTAAGAACAAAATAATACAATCCATCTGGATTGGAGTCTTCCTGTCAGACACACATAGGCTGTATTTCTTTCAGAAAAGGTTGAAGCGAGTTTGAAAGGCGTAGCAAACCAAGAGAGACTGATGGGGTGGCTCTGTGAGGTACACGTGCACCTCAGCATTGAAAAACGGCACAGCACCTCTTTGATCACGCAGACAAGTGCTGAACCTGATCAGGACAAGGCATGATGCACACTCACTGCTTCCTTCTCCTACAGAGGCCAAATCCTTTTGAAGCCTTGTGCGGGACCCTTTGGCTCGTAAGGGGACAGAGGGGGAAGATGTGGCTTATCTCCACATGCACAGGGGGATTCAAAGCTTCTTATTTGATCCAAATTCACCCTGGGATTTTGTAATTGCTGAACTGGTTTAACTGAAAAATTGATGGGACTGACTGGTCATTTTGCCAACACACTTTTAGGTAAAAGGAAGGAAACCAAAGTGACTTCAACACACTTCTATGTTTTCTGTGGCCATTTAGCCCCTTTATTTCTTTTGTATTGTTTGATCAAAAACTAGTTTGACTAGTCTTGAGTTACTTCAACTTCACAGTACCTCTGTATGTGAAAAATAGAAAATAAGAATGCTATATTAATAAATGAAGAATTATTAATTAACATGCAAATGAATAAAAAAAAATAAAAATGGTCTTGCCTACAAATGGTCTTACCCATATTGAATTAACATTTTAAGGACAAGGGCATGAAACACTATCATTTTAGATCTTCCAAGAGTCAGAATAACTCAGCAACTCTTCCTGGACCCTGCATGGTAAACTGTAACCTGAGCCACCTCGCTCCTGACCAATCAGAGAGCCTGAAGAGCAGGTTCCTTCTCTCAGCCTGCCAATAAAAACTCTGTCTTTTCTGAGAGCAAAACCTCTTTGACGACTGGATTTATAGTGACCCATTTCTCATACAGCCCCAAGTCTAGCACCCCATTATAAAGGGTGTGCTCCGCATGTGTGTGCTATCTAATGCCAAACCATGGAGGAGTGCTTGCACTACCCACCATCCCCAGTGGAGAGTTTAGCCAGCAGTGAGGAAGACTCTGACCGACCGAGCACATACCCAGAGAGGCGGAAGAGACTGAGTTCAAGCCCGAACTGGGTGGGCAGTTCGGCACTGGTTAAACGGAGCAGAAAGGGGAATGGGGTCAGCAGGCAGCCGTCTGAGGACACGCAGAAGCAAAGGGTGTTGGCTAACGTCCGAGAGAGACAGAGGACTCAATCGCTGAATGAAGCCTTCGCCTCGCTTCGCAAAATGATCCCAACCTTGCCCTCAGACAAACTGAGCAAGATCCAGACACTAAAGCTGGCGTCCAGGTACATTGACTTTCTCTACCAAGTGCTCCAAAGTGACGCCACAGAGAGCAGAAGCTTTGCCTGCAGCTATGCTGTGCAGGAGAGACTAAGCTATGCCTTTTCCGTCTGGAGGATGGAGGGAGCATGGGCTATGGCTTCTTCCGACTAGTGGTAGTTGTTGACAGATCCACACTGCCATGCTAGAGAACGCCTTCTGTACTGCCTTGAAGTGAGCACAGGTTGGATGGGAACTGCATAAAAAAAATAGCAACAATGGTGACACGTGAGTCACAGTGTTTGGACCCTCTGTGTTGCCACAGCCTGTGACTGTGACTTTTACCTCAGCTGTATGTGAAGAGGAGCCAGGAGATGAATTCTTGTGAGACAAACCTGTTGAATGGGGCTTGAAGGAGAGAAAAGGGAGTAACCTTAGGAGAACACTGCAGACCAGTGCAAACACAGACATCAAAGAGAAATTTGAACATGGGACTCTGAAATGATGTCAGACTGGTATCACTCATTGCAGACAGCAGGACCTGCTTTATGCAAGCAGGAGAGGAACCTGATGCTGAAGAAGGTAAATGTGATTTTATGGGAAAAGTCACAAGCAAAATGTGCTATGGATTTTTTCTGTCTTCAGTAAACATGTGATTGGCAAAAGATGTCGTGTATTGTTGCCTTTTTGTGTCACATATCTGATGATGTTAACAGACATGTATGCTTTTGTTTTCTGTAAAGCAGCTTGTTCAAACAGCTCTTTTGCTTTTCCAAAAAAATCTCTTCTCAGTAAAAGCATTGTTTACAATAAAATTGTGATTCCAAAACCACTATTAGCACCTTTTATTTGTGCACGTGAACAAACTTTGACATGGACAACATGCATTACTGATCACTTGTTTCTGTCCTGTTATCCAGTAGATTAAATTCATGCGATATGTGAAGTCAACATGATATATTTTCTGATTCGTTTTGACCTATTATGCTCTCTTGAGAATGCCTCTTACATAAACGTAGCGTCCATGCATACAAGTTTTAGCTCACAGATCAGAATCACCATTTATTTATGAGTTTTTTTACGATTTTCCTTTTACCAACTACATGATGAAAGAACTTCTCTCTGGAGTGGAGACTAACATGGGTCAGAATTAGCACAGCAAGTATTGTAGCGTTTGTTTGTGTGTGAACTTTCACACTTAAATGACAGTAAGTTAAAATAAAGTGAGTTTGCACTGTTCACAGTTTAGCCGTGTTTACACAGGTGAATACACCCAAATGCCATTCAACTACGATACAAACATAGTAATCAGCTGATATAAAATATATTCAATAATGCTTTGTAAGGAAGTCTTACATGAACGTTCATAATGAGAAAAGTCAGTTTGCTTCATATTCATGATATATTTTCTTTCATATAGAAATCTTCTATGAACAGAACATGAAGTACACAGTCAGTCCTTGTGAGAAAATGTACAAAATAGAAATGGCCATGAACAGATCATAACCCAGGTGTTCATCACATGAAGTTAAAGTACATGGTACCAAATGTATACTGTACAAGTAACAGCAAAATAAAATAGAATCCATCTACACAAAGAATAAGTTAAAAATATATATATTAAAAACAATGTAAAGTACAAATGGGAAAATGTGGAATTGGAATGAAGAAAAATTGTACAAAACAGGAATAATTGCAAATAAAGGTACAAAACATACGAAGGTAATAATGTTAACAATATCAATATGACTCTAATGTAACTAAGAAATTGTACAAGGTACGATGAGTTTGTATTTATGGTAGTGAGCCAACCTGTTCAGTCTTTTGGGGGCAGCCCCTTATGGGGAGTCATGGCTGGCTCAAAGGAAGTCAAACTCGAGTGCAAACTCTAGACTTAAAACAAAAGATACTTGATCATGCATGCTGTAATAAACCTGTTATTACCGTTTCATTCTCATGCTTAGGGGTCTTCAGAACAAACCAGCACTTTTTGACTTTTTTGATTGTCCTTTTGTTTTTTCTGCTGTTGAATTCCAATACTACTAAGGAGATGGAACTGATATGTTGTACGGCAGCTTCTGGACCTTTCCTTCTGAAACTCTGTTTAAAAGTGTAATGTCAGTGGCGAGTTTCCTTTGGTGACCAAATGAGTCATTCAGTGTCTTCCACAATTTCACCCACAGAGTCTTTTGTGACAGCACAGGAACAAGTTCACAAGATTGAGTTTAAAATAGTGTTGCAAAACAGGATGCAAACCCATGCTTTGGTTAGATCTTTTTTTTCTTTTTCACTGTCATATCAATTAGTCTTCAGGGCGTTCCAATTCTGCAGCTGACTTTTCTCTTGCGATGCACATGCCAGTTAATAAATTGTGTCTGGAAAATGATGGCCATCTTATGCTTCTCTTGCAAAAGCTACACTGGGTGACTCACTGAGCTGGACTCAATGTTATAAACTTCTTGTCATGATGGTAAGTTCTACAGTTTTACTGGCAACTACCGTTTGAAGCATTTGTACAGCACATCACTGAGGAAAAGGAAAAGTTAAGTCAGTTTTAGACATTTTACGGGTTAGACTTAACAGTCCACACCACTGTCCACGTAAACATGCTGAAAAGGATTTCTGCCATTTGCAAGCTTGTTCGCCATCCACTGGAATCCACCCAAATGATGGATAATGTCCTTTTTCTCTTCTAAAAAAAAACGATTTAAGGCAGAGCTCCTTAGATTTCTTCTTAAAATCCACCAGCTCTCAATAAAGGCACACACGCTTGTGTGGTTAAAACCACTTCTGAACCTTAGAGGTGGCAATGAGACACAGCACCATCTTGTGGTGAAAAACGCTTCACTCATCTGCAGTCCCTATGCTTTACTACAGAGGTTAACAAGCTAGAGCTGCGCAAAAAAAGTCAAGTGTCGTAAGTAAAATGGTTTCCTTTTTTACCTCAGAAGGGTAGCTGGACCCTTCACCTCTCTTTTACACCTCAATTTCCATCCCTCTGTCCATAATCCTCTCTTCTTTTCGGTCTGATTGGTAAACTACTGGCTGAAAATAATGGGCCACAACACGAGCAACAGGCTGTTGGTCGGTTATGGTCACCATCAGAGGCGCCTCCAATAAACATCTCGAGTCTCTGCAACTTGTACGCATTGCGTGGGGCCACAGTGCTAGTGGGCTATCAGCGCTAACATTTCCAGTTAGGCTTTCTGCCCTGTTGCCCCTTCTCACTGCCCTCTGGGCTGTCTAACGCTGCCCTCAGCCAGGGGAGACAAAAGGAAACACGGAGAGATCCTGAGGACCTCACAAGTGTAGTGTAGGGATCAGGCTTGAATCCAATTCGCAGCACCATTACAGTGGTGGCTCTTCTTCCATGGGCTCATCCTCAGTCCTAGAAGAGAAACATTTTCAATCTATACACTTCCTCACTGGCTTTAAGCCAAGACTTTTGCAATTTCCTACTGAAAAGTAGAAACTGCCAACAGCAGCAGGCTAGCACTAGTAATGCTGCTGGTAACATAGAGTTGTACCCGTAGTGAGGTCTAGTCTGAAGTAGTGGGCATACTATGCCTTGCTGTTACTAAGCCGGCCTAACCCTAAGACTAGCACATATCAAAACAGCACATAGTAACACAGTATACAGTAACTAATGCACTTAGCTAGCTACATAAATACCTATCAGAAGGGCTGGGTATCATAGTTCAATATCTCAACAGTCAGTCAGCAGTCAAAAAAGTAGTCAGTCTAATAGTCTGTGATCCAACAAGCAGGCTTGTTACAAAATCTAGGCTGGTGATTGTCTAAATTATATTCCATATGCACGTTATTAGTGTCAGTATCTTCATTAGTCTGCAACCTTTCACAAAAAGAAGGCATCAGAACAAATCATCATTCAGGAATTGGTATCAAAGCCAAAGTATCAGTATTGGTATTGGTCTCAAATTTGAACACCACACAGCCCTTCCTTTCAGTACTAATCAGTTTTGTTTCATCAGACAACTTGACAAGGAGTGACAGAGAACTTTGTTTCCATGGCTGCTCAGAACTGGCTTTCAGTGATAATTCATGATTTTTTTCACTCTATTCCTTCTATATGCAAATCCTAGTGGCGTTCTAGAGGGTATATAGTGTATACATGTGTATCATGTAGACTAGACTCTGGGCATTACCTTTTTTCCATGGTTGCTACAGACAGAGAGGCCATGGCGCTGACAGTCTCATTCTCTTCTGAGTCACACCGCTGAGCCTCCAGCAGAGAGTAGCCCACTGAGGATATGTATCGCTGAACTGACCTCCAGTACTTACCTAACCCCACGCGCACACACACACACACACACACACACACACACATATTTGTCAATTCAAGTAGCGTGCCTAGAAACTTAAAGTCTTAAATAAGAGGAAACAGACTTTTGCAGAATTCAAGCTACCAATGCTTTTTGCACTTTTGTTCAGTGAACAGGGAGAAACTTCATAAAATAGAAAGTACTCACTCTGTGTTTCTAGAACTTTTTCCATTGAGCTCACAGCATTTGCACTGGGCCTCTGCTTTAGGAGATCTGGGGGGAGTTGGTCCAGCTTCAACACACAAAGACAGACACACACACACAAGCACAGATTAAACAAATCACACCCCTTGTTCAGTTCTCACAAAAATGTCAGTGGTTGAGAGTAAATCACAGGAAGTATTACAATATTATCACTCCTTAGGGAAACCTGGACAGCACTGTGATAGAGCACAGAGCAAAAGTGAGCTCTCTGGATCCTCATCTTACCTCTTTCCCCAGGAGAGCAGACACACAGGCCTCTGAGGCATCGCATATGGCTCTGAGGTCATGACCTCCCTCCAGGGCCAGCACCACACGCCCTCCTGCCAGCCCCATCAGTTGTTTTGTGAGGTAACCGAAACCTGCAGCATACAAGCGTATAACCAAGACTGTTTTCCTTATAGAATTAACAATACTATGCTTACAATGTACTGAATGTGAGTTAAAAACCACTTAGCTGTTTTTTTGTTTTTTGTTCAATGCATTTTTTACAATATGACAGTGAATCAATGAAACAGTCATCTGCTGAGTAAATCTTAGCTTTAAAAGTCTTATCAGAACTACATCCAGCAAACAAATAAAATGTTTTATAAATAAAATAAAACCACAAAAATTTTAACAATGCCTTAACACAATTATGCCTATACCTAAAACTTAAATTTTGCTGGAGGTTATTTTTTGCACACTGGGTCCATACCCAACTGTACAGACTGACCACAAGTCTTTAATTTAGACCTGACACCTTTAGTACACCAACTACTTCAGCAACTAACTATTTTTATCCAAATCCTAAATTTATTTAACTACTTACATTTGGATGTGACTTTGTAGCCTCCCAGTGGAGGAGGGTGTCCCTCCACAGCATCAAAGCCTGCAGATACCAGCACAACATCTGGGGCAAACTCATTCGCAATAGGCATCACCACCGTCCTACAGAGATAAAAAGAACAATGATAAACAAATGAGAACAACTGAAATGATTTTAAAGGTAAAATAAGCACATATTTGATACAGCAGAACAAAACATATTCAAATACATAAAGGGTTCAACATTAACTTTTCTTATACTGAGAAACTGTTGTTTCATAAGAGACCAATATTGAAATCATGTTCTAATCACAGTTTTAAGGTACTATTAAGGTATCATAGAACTTTAGAACACAGTGGTAATGTGGGCCACCATGAAAACTTTATAGATGGAGTCTTCAGGCCCTACATTTGTAATCATAATCAAACACAAAAATTAGGTGTGTGCATGGCAAATATTCATAGTAATTTATGTCTGTTGCTGCAGGCCATAACCGATGAACAGCGGAGCAAAAACAAAAAAGGGTCGGGTTACAATCAGTAATATCAAATCAAACAAACTCACATCAACTCAAGCATGTCTTTTCATTTTTTGGAGACCTCCAACTCTTACATTTCAACAAATGGTTAAAGTTAGATTGTCCAAGTGTTCAGATGGATGTCCTGACATAGTGTAGAGAACAAAAATGTGAACAGAGCAGGGAAAAAAGACTTCAAAGCCATGTCATCTGGCATAAGCAGAGAACTGGTCTGGATCAAATTCTCATGGTCAAAAGCTGCTTTTGATTTAAACCAAAGTTTAATCTTGAATAGTTTCCTGCTATGTTGTGCTTGCTTTCTTGCCCCTATATATGTGTGAATCACTATATGCAAAGTGCTGTAGGTTATGGCCAAGTATTTGAAATCTGACTGCGAGATGGTTAGTCTTACTTGTTTAAAACTTGGCGATACGTACTCTTCAGTAGAACTGTACCTTTCAATTATTCAGCCAAAATAAAACAACCATAAATAGTCTCTAATGTTTACATTCTACATGGGCACACTGGCATACACTAAGGCGCACACAGCCTTTCCTTGATTACAAACTAGCATCTAAGTATAGAGGACTTACTGTAGCGCAACTTCAATGGGAAGTCAGTGTGGTTGGAGCAAATGATTCACACCGTCTCCTGCTCTTGCCAATGTCTTACTTGATTCTGCTCAACAGCTAAGATCAGACTGCCACTGCTGATACCACAAGAGCAAAGTCTGCAATCTGCCGGAGGGAATATGACCTGGCTCTGCATGAAATCTGATGGGGTGACATGGATATGATAGACAGGCAAAACCACACCCCTCTCTGATCGTGTACAGGAATAGAAACAAGGCTTTAGTCTTGGGGAGTGTTTCTGTCCATGTGTTCCTCGTCTCATAAGCTAAAGCCAGAAGATATATGATAATATCATGGGGCTGTACAGAGGAGTGGCTAATAGAGGCTGAAATCAATATTTCCTCCCACTGCTGCTCCAGAAATACTGCACATCACGTGTTGGTGTATTTTGCGAGTGCATCGTTCTCTATCAAAGCATATAAAGACAAAATATGAGCCCACAGACTTGTAAGGAATCTTAAAAGTGAAATCTGGTATTTATGACATAGCTATGAAAGTAGGGAAAGGCAGTACAACGACATAACATTGTTTTATTTATTTATTGCACAATAAATTGCATCATGTTTTACTGATCACACAGTGGGTATTGTTAAAAACGCATGTTTCAATAAAAAGAGGTTTAACAAGGGATCCCAAGTGGCATAGCTGTCTAAGATTTAGCCTTGTTGTTGGGAGATAATGAGTATGAATCGTGAAAATGGCTGGAGTCCATGAGAGCACATTTGGTCCCGTTTAGTTGAATGTAAAACAATGAATAAAAACAAGTGTACTCAGTTTTGGATAACATTTTAAAATGTGGCACGATTGTTTTGCTGAGGGGAAGGGACATCAAACTGGTGGACCATGGTCCGGATGCGGACCCAGCATTGGACTGAAGTGAGCAGTTGAAAAAAATTCTGTAGCAAAGCCACATACATAAAAAACCTGGTTGTATTTCAGCAAATCCATTTTCTTAAACATGAATCAGCTTCTCTGTAGCAGCCTGTTGTCGCAGTTTATCCAAATCTTATCTAGAACGCATACATAAATGACTTAGCCGAAGGCAGCTCACTAGAACGGAGACAACAGGGTTAGATATCAGGTCAGAAAGCAAATCATTTTAAATTTCAGATTCTCATTCTCGTTTTATTTTTTACAGTCTGAGTAGTAAAGCAATTGTTCACATGGCTTTTTAAAAGAAGAAAAGTCAATGATAAAAAGAGTTTAAAAATGAACGAACAGAGTGCTTCACAGATGTCTCATGTGTTCAGAGTCTGTGGCATTTGTCGAAAGAGAAAACCTGAAGAGCCTCTGCGATCCAAAATCAGTTTGAACTAACCTACCAACAAAATTCAGTTCTGAGGACCAATAAAATAAACCCAAAGCTCAACATGAAAGATCCACTAGAGTGGCTGTCCATTCCCTGACAGGGGAAGAGTGTAAAATGCTAATTAGGAATAGCCTTCATAATTTTTTTATTTAATTGAATTTTATTTTTCATTTATTTAATTTATTTTACCTTATGTAGAGACAGAATTTTGTAGACAACTATTTTTAAATAGTTATTAAATAATAAAATATATTTTTTTTAATTTTGTTTTTTAAAAACAATAGCCAAAGGCCATACAATTGTAAAATGCTCATTAAATTATAAAAGTATGTTCAAAGTAAAACAGTTTATTAAAATAATCACTAATCATTTAAAGGTAACTATTTTGTTAGTTTGTTTATCTTTTAGTTTTCTTAACATGTTTGTTAACCTTTGTCAGCAAGAAATCTGATATAACTGGATCTTTGCAAATATTAGTTGAATATGCCTGCCTTAGGACCTTGAGAGGTCTAGAATGTTACATGCTCACAATTTTACAACTATGCATGAAATTACTAGAAGAGCCCATGCTTTTATTTTATGTTAGTACAGTTGTTTTTGTCTCCCACAAGACACTCTCACATGGTAGGAAGAGACTTACTTTCATTCAGCTGAATTTTAGGAGGATTTGTTTCGTGGCTGATTAGGTGACGCTTGGTGATGTTTTTTCCTTTGTTTTCGACTAAAGCCATGCTTTGCTACTAAAGTATTTCAATATGATTTTGTTATATTGGCTCTATATACCCTATACCTTACAAAGATTTTACATCAATGAGTTTAATGAGATTTTCAGACTAACGGTACTATATGTGTTTAAAAGAAAGGAGAAGGACTTCACCTGAAAGCAGACAGGTATTCAGCATCCCCCATTGGTGGATCCAGCCCCCCAGTGAAGGCAATGTTCACGTTGAAGCCCACACCTGGACCACTGCCCACCTATGAAAAGTTTATTTATAACAGTTTTATTAAGTAAATACATATGCATACACTTGTTGCTGAAGTTGGTGATTACCTCATCAGGAGCTCCACTTCCAGGAAAGAAGTTACCATCATCATAGCGATGGAGAGAGATGTAAAGAACGTTGGGATCATCATAGAAAGCCTGTTGAGTGCCATTGCCATGGTGAACATCCTGTAAGCATATTTAAATTGTAAACTCATTGATTAAACACACAGTTTCAGGTGCAAACCCAATTCCAAAAAAGCTGGGACAGTAAATGAAATGCAAAGAAACAGAAAGCAGCAATTTGTGAATCCACTTTGTCCTGTATTTAAACAAAAGCAGTACAAAGTGAAGGTATTTAATATTTTATGTCATCAACGTCATTGTTTTTGTAAATATACGCTCATTCTAAATGCTTGCAACACATTCCAAAAAAGTAGGGGCAGGAGCAATTTAAGACTAGTAACATTGTGTAGTGTTCGGAAAACATTTTAAAAAAGTAATCATGCTTGGGTATAAAAGGATCAATCAGGAAAGGCCTAATCATCCGGCTGTAACAGAACAATGTTCCTTAAGGAGCGTCTGCAAGAATTTTAGGTGTTCCTAAATTTTAGGTGTTCCTAGGTCTTCCTCTATGGTGCATAATATTATAAAAAGATTCAGGAAACTCAGGGAAATCTCGGGACATAAAAAGCAAGGCCAAAAACCACAACCACAAACGCTTTGTGAGAAGCTAGGTTCTTAAGCTTCGTATACCAAACCTGAAGTAGGAAACCTGACTGTAATCTTAGATTCTGAGCTCTGTTCTGTGCCATATGTAAATGCAGTCACTAAAGTAGCCTTTTATCATTTGAGAAATATCGCTAAAGTTCAGCTTTTTCGCACAGAAACTTGTCCATGCATTTGTTACAAGCAGAATTGATTAACGTATTGATGTAATGCTCTTCTTACAGGGTTTCCTAAGAAAACTGTGCATCCTCTACAACTCATACAAAATGCAGCAGCATGGATCCTAACAAAAAACAAACAAACAAAAAAAGCTCATATCACCCTGTTTTGGAGGAACTGCACTGGCTACCTGTATCTTTTAAGGTATCGTTCTGCTACTAGATTTTAAGGCTCTACATGACCTTAAAGCACTTACAACACAGTATATTTGTCTTTTTATGTTCCAACATGTGATCTTAAATTTGTTCATACTGACCTCCTGCAAATATCTTCCGTAAAATACAGAAAGCACGAAGAGGTCTCTTTGGTATTTATCTTTTTAATTTGATCTGACATTGTCTTATATGATTTTAAATGAAAATTCATAGTTTCTTCTATTACTGTTAAACATTATCACTTGTCTCTAAAGCACTTTGAGCTGCCACCAGAATATTGCTCTATAAATAAAAGCTTATTATATACACCGATCAGGCATAACATTATGACCACCTCCTTGTTTCTATGCTCATTGTCGAATTTTATCAGCTCCACTTACTATATAGGTGCACTTCGTAGTTCTACAATTACAGACTGTAGTCCATCTGTTTCTCTGCATACTTTGTTAGCCCCCTTTTACCCTGTTCTTCAGTGGTCAGGACCCCCATGGACCCTCATAGAGCAGGTACTATTTGGGTGGTGGATCATTCTCAGCACTGCAGTAACACTGATGTTGTGGTGGTGTGTTAGTGTGTGTTGTGCTGGTACGAGTGGATCAGACACAGCAGTGCTGCTGGAGTTTTTAAACACTCACTGTCCACTCTATTAGACACTCTTACCTTGTCAGTCCACCTTGTAGATGTAAAGTCAGAGACGATAGCTCATCTGCTGCTGCACAGTTTGTGTTGGTCATCCTCTAGTCCTTCATCAGTGGTCGCAGGACGATCACTGGATCATTCTCAGCACTGCAGTAACACTGATGTGGTGGTCGTGTGTTAGTGTGTGTTGCGCTGGTCTGAGTGGATCAGACACAGCAGTGCTGCTGGAGTTTTGAAACACCTCAGTGCCACTGCTGGACTAAGAATAGTCCACCAACCAATAATATCCAGCCAACAGCGTCCTGTGACTACTGATGAAGGACTAGAGGATGACCAACACAAACTGTGCAGCAGCAGATGAGCTGTCGTCTCTGACTTTACATCTACAGGGTGGACTGACAAGGTTGGAGTGTCTAACAGAGTGGACAGTGAGTAAACAGTGTTTAAAATCTGTGTCTGATCCACTCAGACCAGGACAACACACACAAACACACCACCACGTCAGTGTTACGGCAGTGCTGAGAATGATCCACTAGCCAAATAGTACCTGCTCTGTGAGGGTCCAGACCACTGAAGACCAGGGCAAAAGGGGGCTAACAAAGTATGTAGAGAAACAGATGGACTACAGTCTGTAATTGTAGAACTACAAAGTGCACCTATATAGTAAGTGGAGCTGATAAAATGGACAATGAGCATAAAAACAAGGAGATGGTCATAATGTTATGCCTGATCGGTGTATATAAAATGCCCACAACCTTTAATCCCTCAGAAGGCACTGCATTAAAAACCAGCATGCTTCTGTAATGGATATCACCATATGGACTCTTTGATAAACTGTTGGATATCACCATATGGACTACTTTGATGAACTGTTGTCAATAAACACTATCCATCACTGTATCCACAAATGCAAGTAAAGACTGAACTATACAGAGTGTAAGCCATGTCAACAACATCCAGAAACCTGCCGACTTCTCTAGGCTCGAGCTCATCTGCAATGGGCTGACGTGCAGTGGATATGCGTACTGTGGTCTGATGAGTCAACCTTTCAGATTGTTTATGGAAATTATGGATGTTGCGTTCTCTGGGCTAAAGAAGCGCAGGACCATTCTGATTGTTACCAGCGTAAAATTCAAAAACCAGGATTATTGTCATTTCGCATACTGTCCCAATTTTATTTGGAATTTGATTTGTATGTGCATAACTGAGAGAAAAAATCCTTCAAAACTGAACTCACCCAGTCAACAATCAGTATTTTGCTGACATTGAGCCTTTGCTGTAAGAGCTTAGCTGCTATGGCAACTGAGTTAAAGTAACAGAAGCCCCTGTGAAAGGAGAGAGAGAGGAGAGAGAGATAAGTCAGGGTCATAGATTTTTCACAAAATTATTTCAAAATCAGAAACTAACAAAGAGGGGAAAGAAAGATAGAAACAGAGAGAGAAAGAGAGGAGAGAGAGAAATGACACTCACATTGGAGTACTCTCCTCAGCATGATGTCCAGGAGGCCGCACCACAGCAAAGCCATTCTGCAATGACAGAGGAAAGAAATGTCCGGTCATTTGTAGTTGTGGGAGAATCGCAATGTGATATGCAACACTGTAGAGGTACAGCACTGTATAAGAGAAAGAAAAAAATTGACTACCTTTAGTTCTCCTGATGCCACTTTGAACACAATCTCAACCACTGAGCCAACAGCTAGACGTGCTGCACTGGAAGAGTGTACCTCATTCCAGATAGTGTCACTGTCCACCTGACACAAACAAAATAAAGGGAAACACAAGATAATCGTCTAATTTATCTTGTTTGTTGTTAAATTGCACACGTCCAATACCCACACATAACCCTTTACACACACTTTACACTTACCCCAATCCCACCACAAGGCAGCCTGACAAACATGGATATCACAGAACCTTTGGAAGGGAGGATAATATCAAATAAGATTTCAATGCCATGACATACAATGTGATCAATACAAGTGATGCTGTAATCTTCAAAGCCCTGCCCCCTGTTAAAAAGTACAAAAACTTCAGAAGCAAAAGAGCAATTCCAGAAGCAAAAAATATATTAGCAAAATCTATGAACAGAAAAAATGAAAGCAAAACCTGGCAGTTTGATTTGCCTCTCATTATTCGTATTTGCGACATATTTCAGCCATTTTTATACTTAACATTTTGCTTGTGGATTTTCTACTTTTATTTGAAACTTTTGGCACAAAATTGACTCCATACTCCTGAGCCCATGCAGATTTTCACCACAGAATCGTGTCTATTTTTAATGCTGTGCCGCCTGAGGGCCCAAAGATCATAGCCATCCAATATTGGTTTTTGGCCTTGTCCCTTGCATACAGAGATTTCTTCAGATTCTCTGTTTCTTTCAATGTTATTATGTATCGTAGATTACGAAATTTCCAAGTTCTTTGCTATTTTACATTGAGAAACATTCTTAAATTGTTGCACTATTTGATCGTGCAGTCTTTTACAGAGTGATGAACCCCTCCTCATCTTTACTTCTGAAAGACTCGGCCCCTCTGGGATGCTCTTTTTACACCCAATCATTTTACTGACCTGCTTTCAATTAACCAGGTGTTTGTTTGTTTTTTTTTGGCCTTACACAATTTCACCTGTCTTTTGTTGCCCTGTCCCAACTTTTTTGAATTGTTTTGCTGGCATCAAATTCAAAATGGGCATATATTTTTCAAAAAACAGTCAACTTTATCAGTTTCAACATTTGATATGTTGACTTTGTACTATTTTCTATTAAATAGAGGGTTTAAATGAATTGCACATCATTGCATTTTGTTTGTATTTACATTTTTCACAGCGTCCCAACTTTTTTGGGAAACAGAGTTGTAAACCAACTTTTATATTTATAGCAATTTCTTATCAAATCACCTGTCCCACTTTAAAAAAAAACTAAACATGCCAATTTTATTATCACCTGATTCTTCTGAAATCATTTAGAAATTAGTCACTTTTAATCATTCTAGACATGTCTCACTGAATTCTAGATGCATTTCTTTTTTCTTTAATTAAGGAATGATTTGAATTCTATTAAGTTGCATTGTATGAGCATCTTTTTGGAATCTGCAACAAAAATTTATATTATTGAAAACACTGATTCCAAACTTTTGAGCAATAATGTATACTATGTGTGCAACTTACTGTCCAGTTTCTGCCGCAGAGGGTTGGTACCATACAGCATGACATGAGCCTCTGAGTGGACCGTCTGCAGTTCCTCTAGAGTAGCCTTCCTCCCTCTAATGCACTAATTGAAAGAAAGAAAAAAATGGGTCTTCTGAATCAGGAAGCTTTGTGTGCTGTTATAACTACATTTAAGAGATTTCTTTAAGGAACAGCACCCCCTGGTGATGACACACTTCCAGTGCATTCACACATAGTCTGCTAAAATAAATGTTTATAGATACAGCAGGTTGAACAACTAGATTAGGTTAGATAAGAGTAGCTACTGCTGTTAAACAGAAAAGGACAAATGATTAATATAGTGTATGCTGTGGGAATACCTCACACTGTCCACGTAGGCCTGTTTCCTGCAGCCGGGACCAGATGCTCTGAATGCGGCCTGCATGCTCTGGGTGTGTGTTGGTGTTTCCACACATACATTGATGCTTCTGCATTAGAGAGTCATACACAAGACCTGTGGAGTTCAAACACATATGCAGATATTTATGTGACATGAAACTAGTTATTTATGTGATATGATACGAGTTATTTTCTAATTATAAGAAGTGACTGGAGATTGGCAATTTGACCATGTTTGCCATTCCAAAATCTGCATTTTTAATAGTATACATTTAAGTTTTAAAGTATACACCGACCGGTCATTTCGTTTTGTACAACTATATTGTTACACTTTGTTGCACATATAGGTGCCCTTTGTGATTCTATAATTATAGACTGTAGTTTATCTATTTCTCTGCATACTTTGTTAGTCCTTTCAGTGGTCAGGACCCCCACATGACCACCACAAAGCAGGTATTATTTGGATGGTGGATCAATCTCAGCACTGCAGTGACATTCATACGGTGGTGGCGTGTTAGCGTGTGTTGCACTAATACAAGTGGATCAAACACAGCAGTGCTGCTGAAGTTTTTAAACACAAGACACACCACTTGTGATTCACTCATACCAGCACAACACACACTAACATACCACGTCAGTGTCACTGCAGCGCTGAGAATGATCCACCACCCAAATAACTCCTCCGTGGGGGTCCTGACCACTGAAGAACAAGGTAAAAAGGGGGGTAACAAAGTATGCAGAGAAACAGATGGACAACAGTCTAGAATTGTGGAACTACAAAATGCACCTATATAGTAAGTGGAGCTGATAAAACGGGCACTGAGTGTAGAGACAAGGTAGGTGCTCCCATTTAAGTGCAAGTGTATATATTTGAATTTATATCTATGTGCATTTATATCTTATATATAGTTTGTGTTATCAAGGCTTTTAATTGCCTATTTCAGTTATTATAAAGGTACTGGTCTGGTTGAACCATTTGACTTACTAGTTGTGCCACCTGACTTTTCAGATTAATTTCAAATTAAACAGGCATCTACTTAGACCTCTGTCCTTGAACTTGATCTTATACTTTTCAAATAAACATTATTTTAATAAATACACATTTTCATGGTTTTCCTGAGGTCATACCATGTGACATGGTAAACTGAACCATTCTAACCATGACTCAAAAATGACACTGAAATGAAAGGGCTACTGACCCTAGCATTGCACCATGAAGGTTACTTGGGGTCTTGATGCATGCTATGATGCAATACCCTGGCCCCTCTTTTGTAAAAGTATGTCAAAATAAAAGTCCTTTGTTTTTCATTGTGCCTCCTGACATTTGAGGAAGTAAAAACTTCAACAACAAAAGTTATTTAGTGACTTGAGTACTTCAAAAGTTGTTTCATTTTGCAACATTATTTTAACATTATATATATTTTTAAGTATAAAATCATTTTATTCAGAATTTTACTTACTAAATTACCTTTTCTGATAGTTGACTTTTTAGTCACCTGACTATGGATGCACTCAAGGTACTGGTGAATAATTTAATTAATATGTCATGTATTTATTAAATTATTATTTGGGAAAATAATGGACTTGGACACAAAAAAGCATGTCATGCTAATGACAAGTTTGTATATTATATAAAATATCAATATTCAGATATCCCATCAAGAAAATATTTTACATAGTTACAAATACAGAAGATCTAACTTTCAATGTCTATGCAGACCAAGATAATAGGTGATCTGTACCCTGATCTTTAGGTGATTTAGTGAATCTTCCTTTTGTTCTAGGTCTATACGATTTAACACACTCACCAACATAACAAATCTTTTCACATATAGCTACAATTGAATATCACAGTTTTGCTTAACGAGAGATCCAACATCAACTGCTTGTGTCCTGACACTCTGTGCAGTTCTATGAAAAGGATCAGATATCTGTTAATCTGAATAACCACACCAGCCCCTACAGGTGTTCATAAGTAATCTAACCTGTAGTGAAGCGCGGTTTAGAGGGTGGCTCCTGTGCAGTGATGAAGGAAGCTGATGCAGGAGATGACTGGGCCCTGGAGAGCGGGCGGTGCCCTGGGAAACTGACTGACAGGCCAGCAGCCTCCATGGAGGCCTGGTAGTTCCTCAGCTGATGAATCCTCTGCTGCTCCAGCAGGAGCGCCTGCTACACAGATATAAACAAAAGACCTACTATAAACATAATGAATTGCTGTTCTTCAAATCACAACTTTCCAGAAATCATAAAAATGGCCAAAAACATGCTTCTGATAAGCGTGTACCAAAACATCCACTAGGTGGCAGTCATAATCACAACAAAAGCAGTGAATTCAGCTCAGCATACTGTGACAAAAAGAAGTCTTATACAGCATTTAAATTATGGGCGAGCCAAAGCAACTTAAGTTGTCTTAAAAAATAATAAACAAAAAAAAGCTTTGCTAATTTATTAACCATTCTATTATTTATAAACAAAATATGACTAATGGGAAATTTACTAGTCCTTTTTTCAGCTTTATTCAGTCACTTATTGGTTCTCTCTCTAACCTGTCTGAAGAGTAACTCTTGCTCTTCCTGTCGTTCATCGTCCTGGGGGTCTGGGGGTTCCTGCTTGATGATGACACTCAGTGGCAGACCCTCCCCCTGAGCAGAGTCCTGTTGCTCCCTAAGCTCCTCCTCTGTCTCTTCAGGGTGGCTCTGATGCTGCCTTCCCACCTCACCAGGCTTTGTCAGTATCTAACTCAAGGGAAGAACACCAGGGATGATCAAGCCCTAAATTAGCTCATGTTATTATTCTTTTCATGAAACTGTAGAAGGTGATACATTTTATGCTACCTACCTACTAAAACATATCGGAAATGTTAATCATCAAGAAAGTAGATGCATACAAAAAGCACGCCAAGGACTAAAGCAGATGCAATTATACGTAAGGACTAAATACCACATTTCCGTGAAATCCACCATAGCACAAACAGCTGAATATATCATCTGGTAGGGGTGCGGAAAAAAATCGATTCTTAGATGAGTCGCGATGCGGACGTGAACGATTCTGAATTGATTCACAAATGTCAAAAATCGATTTTCTAAATATTTAATTTATAATGTAATGTTGACGGAACGCAAAAGGCGGAACTTGGAAGTGCAGCGCCCGGACAGTCTGTGGCGGCACATAACAAAAACACAACTGGATGAGCGAGAAATCCGACCGGCTCCCTCTGCATTAAAAGCCAGGTTAGGTCAGGAGTCACAACCCAAATATTAACATTTTGTCCTTTCAACAAAAATCAAACCACCTTGGGAGCCGCAACATTTAATCTCCAGTATGTCTCAATATGTGATAATGTCCTAGTATAGGCTAAACAATATAAACGAAAACAGAGATTTACTCTGCTCTGCTTTAAGCTTTAGCTATAGCCGCTTTCCTCCCATCTCCACCAGGACACTTTTCCTCAAAAGTTGAATAGTTTCTTGTAAAATGTCTCTCAACGTTCGACTGTTTTACGAGGCTGAAGTCGCTTTTTATTCTCCAGCTTTTTGTTTGAATTTATCCGTTCCACCTTAAATTCTAACTGAGGCGCCAAATGTAAATGCGGCACCATTTAAGGTGGAACGGGAAAATTAGAAAGAGAAGCTGACTTCAGCTTCGCCACTTTTTAGTGTTTGACAGTCTCTCGTTGCAGATTTAACGTACCAGGAAACCAAATACAGTGCTTATGAATGCGAATAACGCATCACTGCTATGTGACCTGCAGTCTGCACGCCGGTTCTCAGTCGTTGCGAAACAGGGCTTTCGCGCTATGTTGTACACGTCGTGTCTCAAAGATATTTTACTGACACAGCGATCCCCCCGTCTCTACAACGAGACCAAAACCGAAATTATAAAATCACTAAAGAAAACGGGTAGAATAGCTGTAACATGTGCTGCATGGACACCCATTGCCACTGGATCTTATTTCACCGTAACTGCGCATTTTATCACAGATGAGTAGCAGCAGCTTCTCGTGCTCCAAACAAGAGCACTGAATGAGAGCCTTGTAGTTGACTTGCCCCATCACTTCCATTTGTTTTATTAAAAAAGATATTGGGAGTAAATTCATTATGGATCATTACAAATACTTTGCTTTAAAAGTACCAAGTCACTTTAAATAACAATAATACCGAGTCACTTAGTCACTTTAAAATGTATATTGTCTGTATATTCTGTGTATATTCTGTGTATATTTTGTGTATATTTAATATATTTCATTTGGTTTTTCTTGTATTTTTATTTTTACTTATTTACTTTCTGTAGAGTGATTATCTGAGCCTCACCACAAGCATTTCAATGCATAAATGTCCTGACATGTTGTGCAAATGACAAATAAACTTGAAACTTGAACTCGAAACTTGAGCTCACAATGAGAAAATATAAATGCTATATAGAAAAAAAGATGCATCGAGATGCATCGATAATTGTTTTATAATCGCATCTCAGCCCTCTGAATCGTAATCGAATCGAATCGTGAGGTGCCTAGAGATTCCCACCCCTATCATCTGGTAACCCTTTCTGTACCCTGTCACAAAGCTGACCTCCCCACTGCTCCATATCAGAATCAGATTTATTGCCCAAGTATGTTGACACACAAGGGATTTAGTTCTGGCCATTGTTGTCTCTCTAGTATTAAATGCAGTATACACAATGTACAAATAATTTACAGACAATACACAATATGCAAACAACATACAGATTATGTAAGGACAAGCAACATACAAGTGTGTGTGGCAGTGCAAACAACAGTGATCTACAATCATGTATGGGAATGAAATTGTGGGACACAAGCTATGGCCTAGCAGATGATATTACTGGTCAGCTATTTAAAAGGGTGATGGCCTGAGGAAAGAAACCGCTCCTGTGTCTGGTAGTCTTAGCACACAGGGTTTGGTAGTGCCTGCCGGAGGGGAGGAGCTGAAAATGTTTGGGGTGCATGGAATCTGTAATGATCTTCCCTGCCCGTTTCCTGGTTCTTGGAGTGTATGAATCCTGAAGGGTGGGCAGGGCAGCACCAGTGATTTTTTTCAGCTGACTTTACTGTTCATTGTAGACTGTTCCTATCCCGTTTTTGTGGCTGGTCCAAACCAGACAGTCATGGATGTGCACGGGACAGATTTGATGACTACAGTGTAGAACTGGCTCAACAGCTCCTGTGGCAGACTTACTGCAGAAAGTCCTCTGCTAGGCCTTTTTGAGGATGGAGTTTATGTTGGTCTTCCCCTTCAGGTCTTGGGAAATGGTAGTTCCCAGAAACTTGAAAGTCTCCACGGTTAACTTAAGGTTGTTGGATATTGTGAGGGGGAGCAGTGTTCAGCTCCAAGTTGTTCTGACTGCATCTGAGCACTAGCTGTTCAACCTCAATATGCAGACTCGTCGCAATCCTGGGTGAGTCTGATGACCATTGTGTAGTCTGCAAACAGGAGTTTAACAGATGTGCAGTGCAGTCATTGGTGTAGAGAGAGCAGTAGGGACAGTACAGATCCTTGACTTCAGCCAGCCGCACTTGCTGTTTTCTGCCTGTCAGGAAGCTGGTGATCCACTGACAGATGGCCCGGGATACAGTGAGCTGGGTGAGTTTGGAAAAGAGGATTTCTGAAATGATGTTGTTAAACACTGAGCTGAAGTCCACAAACAGGATCCTTGCATATGTGCCTGGGCAGGCAAGGTGCTGCAAGATGTAGTGCAGTCCCATGTTGACTGCATCACCCACTGACCTGTTTGCAGGGAGTCCTGTTAGTGAATTAACACCCTACCATTTGTCAAACTGTGATACAAATCAAACTTTCCTGAACTGAACCAAACCAAAAACATCCAGGACAAATTAAGCAGAGATGTAAAAGGATAGATCAGATTTCAGATATCTCTGACATCCCACTGTGAACCTACAGCCCTAGTGTCCAGCACCATCCAGTCGCCATGGCTACGGTCTCTGTGTCCCACACTGGACGAGTGTTGAGTGGTTGCCAGTGTTGGCGGACAAACAAGGCCCTGGCACAGTGTCAGAGGAACATTATTGACGTCAGAAACACCCCCCACCTGTTGCCTCATCCATGTCCCCTACCCTGAACAAGCTTCTCTTTTTTATCTGCCACCCCCACCCCCCTTTGCTCTCCATGCTTCTCTCACGCTTGGAGCCAGAAGGAGCTTGGGATCCGAGTCTGCTTGCTGAAAGATTTATGCTCAGTGCCATGTGCTTAAATAAAGACAGCAATCACAGGCAAGTGCTTGCTAAAAGGCAGTGCTGTGGTGAAGCCTTACCTCAGCCTTTCTGACAGTGGACCCTGATAAATCTATTCAGCACCATGTGTCTCTTTCACCTCTCAAACCTACAGCCACTCCCTAAGCAGCACACCCATAAACCGGTGCTCAGGACTGGTCTGGCGACGCTCTTTATATCTCCTCAGATATAATAATAACAAAGTAATGCTGCAGAAGCCCTTATGGGTGCAAGATAGACTGACTGCTTTCTGATATGTAATGCAATGTTCTTCAGTGGACTTGGATCACTGGTATTTAAGTCTGAAAACATGCATATTCTACAAAATTCAACACATTAACTGAGCTAACTGAATAATCTAAGTTATTGTTTGTGTAAATTGGGATATTCTTACTACTCGTAAAAACTATGGACATTTCAGATTCGTACTACATTAAAATAATGGATCACACTGGTAATCACTTCCAACAATTTACAAAAACTACTCCAGCTTGAATAGAGCTATCAATTTATTCTTTGGACAGTTACTGTTTTGAATAATTTCCGAGGCCCATAATTATTAATTTAGCATAAAAATCAATTGTTTCAATGCGCTCTTTGTTATGATTGATGGAGCATACTTGTGGTAAAGTATCTATCGAGAATGATCATATATATATAAACTTAAATTCCAAAAAATACCTAATACAGGGAGCAGTACAAAAGAATCAAGATGTTCCATTTAAATCCATTATTTATAAGATTTAATATTCAATTTATACCTTATCGACATGATTTAAAAAAAAATTCCCAATTTTCTCCCCAATTTAGACATATCCAATTCCACCCACAAATCACAACCAATCCAATCCCAATCACACGATAACACCAGCTCTAGGAGGGCGAAGGCATCGTTTTGAACTGCAGCTAACGCAACGTCATTGAACAGCTGAATGCGCTTGGAGGAAAGGGCAAACCAAAGACTGGACATGAGAAAGGATGGGTTGAGGCTCGCTTCAAAACATGCAAGTAAATAATCCAACACCTTAAGAGCAATGTTCAGCTACAAATGATTGCAAAGATTTTAGGGAATTTTACCTCTTCTGGTGCATAATCAAAACATTCTGGGAATTCAGAGAAATCGCTGTGCATGAAGGGCAAGGCCGAAAACGACAACTGAACGTCCATGACTTCTGATCCCTCAGACGCATAATGGATGTTCTGTTTTCCACTTGAAAAAAAAAAACCTCTAGACTGTTACCAGTACAAAGTTAAAAAGCCAGGCATGTCAGTGTATGGGGGTGTATTAGTGTGCATGGTATGGGTAACTTGCACATCTGTGAAGGCACCATTAATGCTGAAAGACATAAACATGCCCCTATTTCATTTCTCTAATTGAAATATGAATATTGCTACATGTAAGCAAATGTTACTGCACACTTAATTCACGTCATTAGACTGGCAGCCTCCTTAAGCAGGTTTTGGCAGTGTACATGTACAGACTGAGGGCAGATGAAAAGAAGTCAGAACAAAATACGCAGGTTTCCCTACAGTTCTTCGTTCTTCATCTGTTACTCACTGAAACACGACAGATCCTTCCTTTCAGCTTGATTTAAACAGACCTACAATCGTATCAGGCTAATCCAGTACAGACTCAGCTTAATAATACTGCTGACTCCCTGATAAACTGATTTAGGCTCTCAAAATATCCTAATTATTATTTTAATTCTGGTAACATTTGTCTGAGGACATTTTCTCAGGACATTCGCCAGCTTTTTGTTCGACCTTAAATGGTGCAGCAGTCACATTCTGAACTCTGAAATTTTGCCTCATAGTTTTAACACTGGTAGCATTCTTGATACGGCAGGACATTTGAGGCTAAAAACTATGGTAGAAGATTTTGATAAGACAGCACAACTTGTCAGAGCACCGGCACAGCCCACCTTAGTTTCGTGTACCTTAGTGACATCAAATTGATGCGCAGTAGCTTTAGCTCGCATGTAGCAATATTAGTATTATAGCTCTTTAACGACCTCATAATTCGGAGGATCCAGTGGTATTAAGGAGAAAAATGTACACAGGACAAAACATATCGGGTTCTGAACATTTTTATTTCTGATTTTTATTTTATGTCTGAGAGAGACAGAGACGATTTATCGAAATTTTACAGTGAGATGTCAACAGTTCCTATTTTATCAGTATGTCAGCCAACTGAGCCAGACCTGTTAAAAAACAGGAAATCTCAAGCCTCTAACCATCACATTCCCATCAGGTCATGCTGGCTCACTACAAGTGTTTACAGTGGAATAGGTGGCTGACACTGTTGGCTCTGCTGTATTTATACCTACGTGAAAAAGAATAGAAACTTGCTATAAAGAAATGCTGCTCTTTCCTGAATAAATACTGTTTGTTAATTTACATTTGTTACAAAACATTTGTTTTCCATCTTGAGTCATTCTCCTTTCTAAATGAATATGGCTTGTATTTAACCAGTGCAATATGTCCTTTCGAAATGTCAGCATTGGCCTATTTGCAGAGAGCAACATTCTCTAGCCAATATTGAAAACTTCCTCTACGGTGTGTATCCTGCACTGTTAACCACATCAAACAAACGGTCGGCAAAGCAAACTGAAGCGAGAGAGATAAATTCTGTCCACAGTCAACCTGAGACATTCTCCAGTGCTGATTCACTACAAGCTAACATTGGAACATACATTCTGCTCAACCAAACAAGGGTCACATTTCCTCTAGGTAACCATGGCACTGCTGCAGTGTTGTCATCACAGAGCCTAGATGTTTTCCACAGTTATTGCATCATATGTTTAAAAAAAAATTATGGATTTAATGAACTCACCTGGTTTAACAACAGATGAACGACACAAATGTACGGGTCCTTCAATAATATTCTGCATACAATTGCTACACATAATGATATTATGCACAGCATTTATGCACAGCAACAATATTTTATATTGGGGAGTGTGGGCACACATTCTCGCAAACTCACAGCTACATCATCTGATGGTGGCTGGAACACAGCATCATTTTGGAGCATATAAACTTAGCAGCATTCGCCTATGACTTGCAAAATTTCCATTCATGCCGGATCTGGCTGAACTGTTCCTAAATGGTAGGTACTTATAAAGTGTTACACTGTGCCACTCACTCCCATACAACTGCGCACATGACTATGACCTCTATGTTTCTACATGACTTACATGCACAGTACTAGGGAGACAGATACAGGAACTGAGAGCTGAAACTTGATATTTTCACATACACATCTGCTGATGCAGCTCATAATGCATAAACATTTATAAAATGAAATTTGTACTAAATCCATCAGAATTAGAATTATGGAGAAATATAACATTTTTGAGGGTTACTTATGCAGTAAAATAATACTGACTACAATCACAGTAGTCCAGTCTGATTAATCTGGAGCATATTAAATACATCACCAAACAATGGTTAGAAGCATGAGTCCAATCTGTCTGACGGCAAGAACTTTTTAGACAGTATCTGCCAATACCGATATGATTCTGAGATCTTTGTGCATCCCTGCATAATACTGCAAAGCATGTGAAGACATAATCAGGTCAGGCAGATATGGTTACCTTGTTGATGTGAAGCTGCTGGAACTGCTGCTTATGTTTCTCCAGGAACTGCTGGTGCTGCTGCTGGACCACCAGCTGCTGGAGCGCCTGGTTGCTTTGGGGGAGAGGGGCAGACTGGGTGCGGCCCAGTGGCCGGTGCTGCCTCAGCTTGTGCAGGGCAGGAGATTGCAAAGGAAGGGCACCAATGCCTGTAGACAGCAAAGTGGTGGGTAAAAGGTTAGAGGGAGGAGGTACACTGCTCATCAAATCTAAAAGGCTATTAAACTTTTAATAAGTACCTTTTTAATAAATGAGCATGCTTTCCATGTTATAACCAGGGTAACTGATTTTAACTGTCATTGTTAATATTACAAGGATTTACAGTAATATTTACCATGATAGTGTGTTCCTCAGAAAAATCTGGAAAATATGCTTCAGCCATTGAAACTGTCCAAGCTTTAAAATTTTGATGAACAGTGTATATGGTGTAAAATGTGAGCATCTGTGTGCCTTTTATTTAGAAGTGGATTGGCCACTAATGACCATAAGCGAAAGGCAATGTGTTTTAAAATTTTTATACACATAATTCATTTTAGGACTGGCAACCTGTCCAGGGTGTATCCTGCCTTCAGCCCAGTGACCGCTGGGATAGGCTCCAGCACCAACTGCGACCCAGGAGGACAAGCGATTCAGAAAATGTGAGTGTATTTAGTTTTAGAAACTGAATTACAAGTAGGTAATTCTAGGCACCTCACGATTCGATTACGATTCAGAGGGCTGCAATGCAATTACAAAACGATTATCGATGCATCTTGATGCTTTTTTTTTTTTTTTATATGTACAGGATTTCTATTTTCTCACTGTGTGTGAGGACTTCGTACTTTTAAAGCAAAGTATTTGTAATGATCCATAATGAATTTACTTCCAGTATCTTTTATTAATTAACCAAATGGAATTGTTGTGGCAAGTGAACCAGAAGGCTCTCATTCACTGGCTGCCACTCATCTGCGATAAATTGCGCTGTTACAGTGACATAAGATCCAATGGCAATGGGTGCCATGCAGCCAATGTTACAGTCGTCCTACCTCTTTTCTTTAGTGATTTTATAACTTCGGTTTTGGTCTCATTGTAGAGAGTGGAGATTGCTGTGTCAGTAAAATATCTTCGAGACGGGACGTGTGCAACATGGCGCGAAAGCCCTGGTTCTCAACGACTGAGAACTGGCTGCAGACTGCAGGTCACATAGCAACGCAGTCTCGCTTAGCTAGTAGCTAACGAAAAAGGCAAAGAGAAAGATTTAAGACGAACATTTGGAGATGAATGGACTTATTTGCATTTATAACCACTGCAGCTGGTTTCCTGGTACGTTAAAGCTGCAACGAGAGACTGTCAAATACTAGAAAGTTGCGAACACTAAAAAGTCAGGTTCTCTTTCGAATTTCCCCGTTCCACCTTAAATGGTGCCGCATTTACATTCAGCGCCTCGGTCAGAATTTAAGGTGGAACGGAAAAATTTGAACAAGAAGCTGGAGAATAAGAAGCTGACTTCAGCCTCGTAAAACAGTTGAACGTTGAGAGACATTTTACAAGAAACTATTCAACTTTTGAGGAAAAGTGTCCTGGTGGAGATGGGAGGAAAGCGGCTATAGCTAAAGCTTAAAGCAAAGCAAAGTAAGTCTGCGTTTTTGTTTATATTTTTTAGCCTATACCAGGACATCAGCACATACAGAGACATATTGGACATAAAATGTTGTTGAAAGGACAAAATGGCTCTTCTTAACATTTAGGTTGTCGACTCCTGACCTAACCTAGCTTTTAATGCAGAGGGTAATTACGAGATCACATTACAGGTTAGTACCTAAAGGTAACAGGGATCTTTTTTTGCACAGTATAAATTAACTTTGAACAACTTTGAACCAATCCAACAACAGAAGAAATATATTATGACCACTCTGTTATGCAGCATACATGCTCCAAACTACTCAAATTTAGTATACTTCTCATCTGTAAGCTTGCTTAGTTCAACCAGTTACTCTTCAGAGCCACCTCCTCAAACCTTGTAAAAAAAAGTGCACCAGACACTCTGCCAAAACATCCATTGATCCCCCGATTTCCTCACCCAACCAGCGACATCAGGAGCAGTCAACGGCTGGCTCAATGAACAGCCGAACTGGCAGCTGAAAACAGCAGTGGGAAGACTAGGAACATTGTCCCGGGTCACTGCACCGATTTGGGTCTTTACATTGTTCTCCCTGCCAGCTCCCGTTCAGGGAATTAGAGATCCATTCTTTGGGGACTTATGAGAGCATGGCAGAGCGAGGCTGGCTGGCATGCGGTGCTGGCGGGAAGAACAACTCCCCCACCGCTCCTCCCCTCGGCCTGGCACATGGCGTCCCACAACCAGGACCGCCTGCCGGGGCCACCTCGAAACACCGATCTGATTAACTGGAGGGTGGAGAGTGGAGGGGGTCGAGGGAGGGAGTGGATCCCCCCACCACACAGGGCCATGCAACAGCGGGTGGGAATGTTGGCACATTTGAAGGATTATGCAATGTCTAGATAGTGGTAATAGGGGAAAAAAGGGTCTTAGCTCTATGGCAATTGGAGGGAATAAGATGCTCTATACAAAGTAAGGTTAATGCAGAGGTAATACACCGAGCAGTTAGCAAGGCTTTAGGAATGAGCATGAATTATAAGTAAATTAACTGTGGAACTTAAGCTCATATGTTTTCCATTCCTCCTGAGCTGAGCAAAGTCATCCATATCAGAGTGCTCAATTATTCCAACAAAAAAGTACTACAACAGCACTGTGAGCCTGGCCCATATATCATAATGTCTATCGACGTAATTTATTTATTTTTATATTATTATGCTTAGCTAGGGGCTTTCATGCAGAGATCAGGGTTTTATAAACAAGCTTCTGAGTTGATGACACTGCTGGAACTATAATGTATGGCTTTTCGATTGGAGCAGTAACAGAACCTTGGCACTGCACCCATTGATTTTGTGCTATTAAAAATGAACAGCTCTACCATACTCACCTGTAGCTAAGGGACTCGGTGTGGCTGATTGCTCCAGAAGAACCATGTGCTGCAGCAGGGCATTGTGTGAACTGGGTGAGTCAGAAGTGCCCAGGTAAGAGGGCAGGTGGGAGGTGGCCAGGAACGGAGTGGTTATGGGTAAATTGGTCATGGACAGACGTTCGCTGTCCTGCTGGGTAGATGTCACCTAGACAAGCAAATTGAAATCTAATTGAAATCATTACAAAAGGTTACGTAAGAAAGTTACTGGCCATGACCCAACAAGGACAGTCAGTACTGGGCCCAAGAGAGCTGGAGGATTAGATGCCCAAAACCTGCATTCCAAACTAACAGGACCCCATTTCACAGTTACTGGGGCTTCATTTACTTACATCCATTGTATATTTATACCAGTTTATTAGGTACACCTTGCTTGTATACCTATTGGCCACTTTATCGAGTACACTTATGATATAGGTGCACTTTGCAGGTAGTACCCAGTTTGAGCCCCGTCTGAACTGCTTTTGGAGACGCTAACACAATTTGTAGCAAAGCAGAGGGCAAACAAATCCTTTTGATGTTTGTCCAAAAGTTCCATTTGCTGGGACACATCTGATCCATCAGCTTGGTTGTTGCCATGCCAATGGCAGAGACTGCTGTGATTGGTTGAGACAGTTTATGTCACCGGCAAAAGATAGAAAAAATTAAACAGAACGCGAATAAAATAATTCTTGTCTACTGAAAAATCACATTAGGCAAGTACGATGAAGTTCTTCTTATTCCAAAAAACCTGCACTGGTTGTGTGGAGGCATTTACATATATCCACCTATATATAAATTTTTAATGAATTAATGTTTAATGTAATGTTTAATTCAATGTTTAATTCTAAGAAATAAAGGTTGGAAAATGGTCACGTAAAATGAATGATGGCTGTTTTGGGTACATAAAACCATACAAACATCATAAGTGGACCTCACAGCAAATAAATTTTAAATCCAAGAAGAATATAGGATATGGGCTAGACAATATTGTTTGTCTACTTAACAAATTATGGCATCTATTAGATACGTAAATATAAGGAGAAACTCACATTACTGGTAGCTGTGGCTGGCAGGCCCAGTGTGATGTTGGGTAGAGAAGGAGATGTGTACAGAGATAACTGGCTCACTGAGCCATCACGTCCAGTTAGCCTGTTTGCTAGAGATGACTGGACACATACAGAAAGAACCATCAAAAGAAGAAACATCTGAAAAATTATTAATTTAAAGGAAAGTCTAATATCTTGCCTGTTACTGGTGTGTTCATAGATTGAAGCTTTTCTGACTTGCCTTAGAGTCAAGAAGTACTGAAGTATCTTTACCTCTGCCGAGCTGCTGGAGACAGCCACACTGACGCCATTCTCACACAGGTTGCTGTGTGAGCTGTTGTTGGGGGAGCTAGGGCCTGATCCTGGGGCACTGCTACATGCAGAGTCTGGACAACATGAACACAGCACTCAGAAACACATTACCTTACTGTGACAAGGTGTAATACATTTTATACATACATTTTAAAAAGAGAGAGATACATGCAAATGGGTGTAAGGGAATAAGAGTGTTATTCTATGCTGTATGATATTCCATAGAAATCATCTGTATACTTAATGTGTAAGAAAGTTAGTACACTCACTGGCCTCTTCACTACAAACACCTTGGTCTCACCTTGCTAGGGTATATTAATGGTCCATTTCTGACTATTGTCCATGTTATGGTACTGTATCACTACCATGTCAGTGTCATCGCTGTGCTGTGAATAATATTTGAACAAAAGCGGTCCTATGGTCATAACCTGACAAGTTATAAATAGGGCAGAAGTTGAATGGGTCTGTAAAGATCCAGGGCTCAGCCCAGTTCCTTATAGAATTGTTTTGGGATACTGTTCCCCTACATCTTTTAATTAATTGGTAAAATGCGCAGTACTTTTTTAACTTAATTGATAATATGTTTAAAATATTTTTTAATGTAAAGCATCAGACTCAGGTTGGGCTGATTTTGAAATGAGTGACTTTTGTGTCCACTGTAAAAACTAATTTGGAGTTTTGACTTAAAAAGTAAGCAACCTGGCTACCCTAAATTATTTTTTTATTGTACTTCAAAAAATGAGGTAACAGAACGCAACATAGTGTTTAATTAACTTACTACTACTGTTCTGTTAATTTCCTACATGTTCAGTGAACTTGAAATTTTAAAATAGCCACTTACTTTTATTAGTTAAAATAATTATTGTTTTACAGTGGAGTAGATATGTCCTTTTTTACAGAAGTTCTGGCATGCATATATGTATCACTCTCTGTCTCTCTGTGAATGCGACCCTAAATGAAACCGTGGATAATGAGAACAATGTGCAAATGAGCCTGGGTGAAATGTGTGATAGTTATAAGGTTCAGGGCTGGTTAAAAAATTCTTTTTCACACTTTTACATTCATTCAACTCAACATTACTCATGATTCCATGCTGGAATTAATGTTATCAGTGAGAGGGCATCTGATATATCACTGGCTTATGATTGTACACAACAAACACTCGACTACTATAGTCTGTAAATAGTATTAGCCTACCATAAGTGTGGCTTTCAACTCAAATTTTCACAACATGCATCTGATTTGGACGGGATTAAATTTACATGTGGTCCTGGGATAATTTCTTTTACAGGTGGCTCAGAACACTTGATATGATGAGATTATGTACAAAAGCTCAAACCTCAATTCCAAAAAAGTTGGCACAGTATGTCCCAACAAATGAAAATAGAAAGCAAGCACTGATTTGTAAATCCACTTAGACCTGTATTTAAACAAAAACAACACAAAGATGTTATGAAAGGTTTAAAAACATCTTAAACAGGAAACGCAATCATGCTTGGGTATAAAAAGAGCACGAGCAAGGATGGGTCGAGACTTGCCACTTCCCATAAAAATATAACATAAATAAATCAACTAGCAATTGCAGGGGTTGAAACTATTTAACCCATTCTGGTGCATAATATCATCAAAAGACTATTTACTCATCACTGTTTTCTATTAGTATTCAGTTTTTATAGCATTTCACATACTGCCTCAACTTTTTTGGAATTGCCGTTTGTAGAAGCGAGACAGTACAACAGTACATCTTCATTTCCAAAACACATATCAAATGTGAGTGTTACACTCTGTGTGAGGATAGTACCTGCCATGTCCAAAGAGCGTTTCTTGGCGGTGCTAATGGGGTTGTCTCTCCTGCGCAGCAGTGGACTACTCCGCCTCTCTGTAACCTTCTGCTTCAGACGAGAGCGCACCTTCAGGTTCGGTTCTGATGCTAGTCAGAGAAAAGAGATTTATCAGGGTTTAGCAAGAAGCCACAGAACAGTACCACTGGACAGATTGCTCTTGTGCCTTGTGTTTTTTTTTCCATGTTGTTTCATGTGGAGAGGGCAAATGAAACCCTTCTGCTTGGACAATTTCTGGCATGGTCTGGTCAGCGTCTAGTTTTTGATCATCCATCGTGGGCGCACATTTTGTGGCACCTAAAACTTACAACACATATCCAAAGAGAGTTCTGCCTTTTGAACCATAGCTGGGAAAATGAACAATTCCACAGGAGTAAAAAAACATTCCAGGTACACAGCAAAATCCCTACCACTGAATGAACTCACAATGTTACTGTGTCTCCAGACAGACATAAATCAACACTGCAGGTGTTAATTTAATGTGGGGGATATAACTGTGCAAAAAGGAAAAATGCAGGCATTATTTATCTACATGGTAAAATCATACTCATGTTGTGGACAGTGCTAATTTTTGCATGTCAGTAAATTACAGGGAGAAAAAACAGAAGAAGCCATAGCTACTTGGTAATTATAAACAACAGGTGGTTTGGGGGGATGCATGTTTGTTCTGTACAAAATAATCTAGGACACAGATCTTAACATATCCCTAATGCCCAGTATATAATTATGTATTCAAGTAGGCCAATCACAATGGACTCACCGTGGCGCTAATCACATAGTTCTACAAAGGTTTATCAAAGACTAAATAACAAGTGCCCTCTTGCTTCCATTCAGATCATTTATGTCACGTCAAAAGAGTTCGTTACAACAACGTGCACTAGCTACTGGATGACAAATAAAGAAATATGAGCTTATTATCAGTTTCCTATAATGGACACGCTCAAAGAGCTGTCAAATATTCAGTGCAAAACAATATTATTAAACAATGTTATTAAAATACCGGAAAATTATCCAGCTATTCTTCAATGGGACAGTCATTCAAAAAACACTGTTTAAACCCTTTCTTCAAAAATAATTTTGTTCTTTTATGCTCCATGCTGCTTATATTGACATCCTAATGACCTCTCCTCCAGAAAACAAGAACAAAGCTTGGAACATTAATTGAATCTGTCATTCAAGCTCATACTGAGATTAATGACAAAATAATTTTAGAGACTTTTCTCCTTGATATTCACTTCAAACATTCACCAAAACCCATCTGTGATTTCCTGAATAACTCTGATATATCGGTCAGCTCAAAACATCAGCTGATGTTGTGGACACCTTATCAGCAAAGGCAAAAATTCCACTGATAATACCGTGATATTTAGTAACTTGTTTACTACTGTAACAGACACTTCTGGAGATTCTGGGGATGGTTTATGGTTTTGACACTATTATCCCAGTCTTTGTAAAACATGCTAAGCTGACAGTCACCACTTACTCACTACTATTACAGTAACACAAGCTGAACCAATAAATCTAAACACACAACACTATCATGGTAAAAATAATAAAAACATGTAAAATGCATCCGAACCTGACCTGCAGCTTGAGGATCACTTTTATAACACATAACCTTACCATGAACAGATGCGATAATAGAAAAATAAGAGTTAATAAACAGAAACCAACATAACGATAATCAATCGTAAGGCTGTGGAATATAACAATATTTCTTTGTATTATGATAAACTACATCACAATACGCTTTACTGAGCATACTGTGGATCATCAGTACTTCTAAAACATTAAACAACTGCATCATTAGGCATGATTCACTGGATTTAGTGAAGTGTATGAAATGCTAAACATTCCAATTCGCCTGTTTTTTAATGTCACACGACATTGTGTATAGTGAAAATGTCTTGAAATATTGTGATATTACATTTTTACCACAATGCCCACCTCTTTCTTTTGAAAGTCTAATATTTGCTATATCTGAGGCACTGTTCACAGTATTTCAGTTTCTCTCTCACGTCTTTGCTCACCATAGGCTAGGCTGAGCGTAACGTGGGAAAAGTGCAAGGCTGTGACCCCCACAATGTTGGATGTGTGAGGACTGGGGGCTGGGGCAGGGCAGGGCACCCGTTCCAGCCCTGCCCTTTGCAAGAGGTCATTGACCCCAGAGCTGGCTCCCCTCCACTTACGCACGCTGGATGAAAGAGTCTGTCCAGCCATGTATGGACTGCCCCATTCACACAACCCCACCATGAATGGGCACTGGTACAAGTAGTACAGGACAGAATTGCTCCATTAATCTTTTCATACAGCAGAGAGTGAATGGGGCATACAGAGGCTTTGTAATAGGCCTCAGTCATTCATTCACACTGTTTAACTGTCATAATCGGCGGGTGAGCCATGGCTGAACGCTGGGACCGAGCTGAGGACAGTGATTGAAAGTAATTATATCAGTGTGAGAAGTAATGTGAACTTGGACAAGGCCTAGCTGCTATTGACCGGGGAGAAACAAACAACAGTTTCTTTTGAAACTATAATATTTAGCAGGCGGGGTGCACTATATGAATGAAATAAAAACACATAAATTAATTAATGAATGAAGACTGGTCTGCATTATAAAGACCATCATGCAAATGCCTGATTAACACCCACAGAAACTGATCTGGAGCATGTGAGGTTGGTCAAGATGCTCACAGAGCATGAGGCCTCATTTGCACATTGTAATCTTCTACAATATCAGTATTGTAAAAGCCAACATCATGATAAATGTAAAACATTTATATACTAAGCAGCCTTAGTAAGGTATGCCACACATTAAGGAAACCAACTTTTCTACTCTGATGTAGAAATTTCACAAATAGGCCTGTTATGATCATGAAATTTCAGCTAAAAATCAATTGCTATATAAATAACTGCGATTAACAACTGAATCGTCTTTTTTCTTCACTGTATGCAAGTACAAGGTTAGGTAATAATTGTGACAGGCCTCCTAACAAAAGCTCATACAAGCAATGATCAAAAAGATCACGTCAAAAAATGCTGAAGAAAAGGCCAGACTAAGGCAGATCAACAGCTTGATCCATTTAATTGGTAATTTACATAACACACTTCATCCTTGCATCAGGCTGCAACTTTGAAGTCACTTTATCTGTGCAGAGAGCCTCTCGCATTCATCCCACTATAAGAGAAAAGAAGGCCCCGTTCATTTGGCCATTACTGGAAGCGACGCTCATATGGCACGGAGCAGGCATGAAATAAAGGCGCTCCTAACTAACAGGCTGTCATTAACATAAGCAAATCCCACAAACTCGTCACTGCTGCATAGGAAAAAAGCCGGGAGAAATGAATTAGGTTATTGAGGAGGGCCGCTGCTCCTGGTGGGGACAGCCGATAGTTTCCACCCACCTACAGCACAGTTTCAGCTTATCTGTGGCATGACTCAGAATCCATCAGAGCTGTAAATAGGACTACCTTTGTTGTTAATGTAAACCACTGACTGAAAGCAAATTTATCAGGCACTTTTTATTCTGCACTGCTTAAACGTCACGCCACAGGCATTAACATGTCATGCATTTACTTCCCAGTTCTGCATGGATTATGCACAACCTGTGTTATTTGTCTTTCCTCCCTCACTGTAGTGTGGACTGCTATAAGAGAACTGAGCCACTGACAACTCAGAAACCCTCGGCACACACTAATGCGCACATACGCAAAAGTGATAACACGTTCATGCACACATACACAAATATGCAAGTACATACACGCAGACACACACATACAGTAGTCCACTCCCTGGTCCATCCCAGCAGGGTGGAATGTGGTCCCGGCAGCCAGAGTAAACTGGCTTATCTCCAGCGGCAAGGCTAGAGTCAACAGCATCGCATCAGCCTCACCGCTAAGTGAATAATTATACTGTACCAGCACCACTGCACTGCCTAACCACCCAATAATGGTTTCCTATGCATACATTCCATTAGGATCCTACATGGCTGTTCTGAAGGAGGAGTTAGATTACTGCTAACACTTATGGATAGTTCAGGTTCAGATCAACATTTTCTCTTAAGGCAGTGAGTTGGAGACCATCATCATAATGATGCAGATCTAGCAAAGGCTGTGGTATATTGGGTTTGAGTCTTTCATAAATCTAGAAGCTTTCAAGTGCTCAATCTATAAAGTTAACCATGAGTCTATGTGGTAGTGTGCATGTATGGGTGGAGCATAACACCTGTCTTGCGGAGGGGGAAGTCCTTGGAGTCGTAGACACCTACAGTTGGGTGGTTATAGGCAGACATGCCAGTCTGAGGAGGAGAGCTCTGGTCCAGAGAACTGTGCTGGGTTTTCCTGTATATAAACAGATTAGATACAGAGACAGAGAAAGAGATAACATTAATACTAAGGTAGGCACATATGGATAGTGTGTAATGTGTATAATAGCATACCATTTTCAGTCTCATTTTTTCTAGTTTCCTACTAATTATTTCAAATCTTCAAGCTGTATAAGACAAGTACATTAAAAATGTATACATTTATTCATTTATCTGCCAAATTGGTTTTAAAATATTGAAAACGTTGATCCCAAACTTTTGCAGGGAAGTATGCATTTATACTTATACCAGATGTCTTTATCTAATGTTTGGAATAATCGCTCCATTTCTTAGAAACTCCCCAGGATGTCAGGTGTAAACATGATGCACATAAATACCAGGTTCAAGTGGCCTGGGATGGACCAAAGCCAAACCAATGTTCTGCTCTGCTGAGCTTGCTTCATGCCACATTTCCGGCCAGCTTTCCCATTCGCAGGACAGTCTCTCGTAATCACAGAGAGCCTCTCCACTAAGGCTAGCCTCAGACACCACAAGCCACATGCTCCCACTGTACCACCTCATGTTTCACAACATGCTGTTATAAAGGCAACCCTGCCACCAATGGACAGTGCGCTAGTCTGTTTTGTCTACACACTACCCTAAAAGTCATGCTGGCAAGCAGAACAAGCCCAGGTGTCCATAATCTGGCTTCCCTGAAGCAACTATTGACAGGGGCCCAAGAGCACTCAAGGTTGAGTTATAAAAAATACATCCTCTCAACAGCATGTAATAAGCTGTTATTGAATGTTTGCATTAGAGCTTTCCACAGGGTACAGGGGGCTTGGTATGGCTCAGCCACTGAAAACCACACTCACCTCAAACGGCAGGTGTCAGGAAGAGACATTCATGTTTGGCAACCTTTTCATCACTTAAATGCTTCAAAACTTTCATGTTCATAAATCCATGTTAGCACAATGCTATAGGTTCAGCTTTTGACGGCTTTCAAATCTATGGTATAGGCATACGCTATACGGTCAAAAGCTTGTAAAAACCTACATAGTCAAGGCAGCAACTACCTCTACTCTTCTAGGAAGCCTTTACACTAGATGTTGCATTGCAACATTGCAGTAAGGATTTGAGTGCATTCAGGTACAAGGACCTTAGTGAGGTCAGATACTGATGTTGGATGGTTAGTTCTCAATCACAAACAGCACTCCAATTCATACCAAAGGTATCTGATCACTCCAGAGAATGCAGTTCCACTGGATCCTGGGGAGTTTTATACCCCTCTAGCCAACGCTTGGCATTGGGCATGGTGGCCACTCCAGGACATCTCTTTGTATAGGCAATGCTTTTCTGTGGAGATTATACAAACTGTGGAGATTATACAGGGTGTGTGCACACAACTGCACAACTATGCCACCTTAACCCCTTAAAATTTCAGGCTTATTACATACTAAGGCTTACTATTCAGTAACTACAGAGACTTTAATGCAAACTGGCTTAAATGCTTAATTTATAGAAGTCAGCGATTTAAGAGGTTAACATCAACCCAACAACTTTTTAGTGTGTTCTTGCTCCTCAACACACCTGATCCAGCTAATCAGCTCATTAAAGTAGATGAATTTACTAATTAGTAGTGCTGTCTCAAAACTTTTAAGCAAATAGTGTATTTTTAAGCAACTATTTCTGTGTTTAATCTACTTTCCTCTTTTTTAATTAGATTTTCCAGTACTGTTATCACATTAATTTTTAATATATAAAGAACATGATCTAATACAGTCGAAATTCATAATTTTTATGTGTGACAAAATTACACTGTGGGCATGAAAACAAATTCATACTTCTATTACCTACTTTATTTACTACCTTTTACTGAAATTCTGATTAAACAAATTAATAATAAGCCCTTAGAGGTTTGATTTGCTTTCTGGATATATGTAAGCACTTGCTCTGACACAATCATGCTGCATGCAACAAGAAATGCAACATTACACTTCTTTAATACAGTGATACAAGAAGGCACAGCGCACAGAAAGCAATTCCACACCGTCCGCCAGACTGACAAATGTGTTTTGGACTTTGAATCTGATTTTACGTCTACTGTTTGTGCTCTTAGACAGGAAATGTTTTCCTAAATAAAAGTGTATTTTTAGACTGCCAAGCTCACCAACTCTCTTTTCAAGTGGGTATCGCTCTAGGCCAATCCAAAGAGGTAAACATGATAAATTGTGCTTTGAGGAACATTTGTGTTGGACCACTCGTTTCAGAGTGTGAGACCACAAGTGTGAACAGAAAGTGAAGGGCTTGTAAAATGTCTGACTGTAAGCAGACAGTACTTATTTCTGATTAGGGCAAGAAATTATTACATGGATATTCTGAATCTGAATAATAAAAAAGATATTTATATATCATAAGAAGATGTTTGTGGAAGGAAAAAAGGATGAATTACATGTTAAAAAATAGGATTCCTCTGGAATAGTTTGATATCCAATGCATAATTCCAAAATATGTCATGGTCTAAATGGCACCAGGCAGTTCACCTAGAAGACGTATACATTCTCTTACCCATACCAGTAGCGTGGGTTGTTGGTTATGCAGTGGTTGAGGTTGCGCTGGGCGAGTGCTTTCTTCTTATTCAGCACAAACTCCTGCAGTCTCATTTTTACCTCTGTACTGGCCACTGCACCTGTCCAGAGCAACCACACACACTGTTAGAAAGGACTATCACTCATCACTCATTTAGCCGGTAAAGCGAGCTAGTAGCTGAAAAAACAATGCATGTGCAGTGCCGGAAAATGCTGATGATAAAACACCAATATTCATAATTGGGCTGTTTCATATTTTAAATAACAAGTGACTCTGATCTCTAAAAATCACTTATTTGTGATGCTTTTAATGGTTTTATGCTTATGCCTGTCTCAACATAGACAGCTACTGTGGCAATGACCAACTGCTCACATTCATTACACCAACAATAGATGAACTGGCAAACTTCAATAAAAAATACCATCATGGTTAAAATTACAAAGGATGTAAAATTATTCAAACTGAACCTTTGAAATGATCAAATGTAAAACAGAAAAACTGTAAAGAGAACTGAGACAAATAAGAGCTAATTACCAGAAACTGACAAAACCACTAAGAGTGCTGCAACCAATGCCTCATCCATGCTATAATATTTATATTATTTAAGCCTTTAAGTTTCTGCGGTGCAAATTTGACATTTGAAAACTGACAATAAACACTACACGGACAAAATTTTAAAGACATCTACTTGCTGAACGTTTCATCGATGAAATTAAGAATATTAATAGGCAGTTTCTCCCTCCTTTGGAAGGCTTACGCTAGTGTTGGAACATTGTTGTGAGGATTTGACTGCATTCAGCCACAAGAGCGTTAGTGAGGTCATGTACTGATGTTGGATGATTACTTTTATGTCAAACACCACTGTAACTCAACTCAAAGGTATCTGTGGTGCTCCATTAATCCAGAGATTGCAATACTCTTGTAGCTGACAACTGGCACTGGCATGGTGACTAAGTTCTGCAGCTGCTCCAGAGTGTCCAATTCTATTGGCAATACCTTTCTATGTAAATTATACAAGCTATGATTCAGTATCTCTTGGCTGATCAACTACAATTGGGAAAAGGAAACTAAACTGATTTTTAACTGTTCCTTTAATGGCTCTAATGGATGTTGTATACGCTGTTTATCAGTACAAGATGTTGGCATTTACTTGCTGACCAACTAATGCTCAATAAAGCAAACTAACTGCAAAGTTCCCGACTGAGGGACAGTAGTTTTCAAACTGTATTTCCATACCATTTTAGCAGCTGTCTCTAACGTCATCAAAAGGTCAATCTTAATTTGTACTGTACTCATGCTTTTTTAAATGGCCCTCCAACAAGTTGAGCTCATGCTCTCTCCCTCAACATGTTGGCTGCAAATGAGTCTCGGGGGGTTGTGATGGGGGGAGGGGGGTGGTGTTGAGAGACAGGCCGCAGGCCAGAGAGGCTCCTGCCATACTGAATTACTGCTGCTACCGCTGGAGATACTGCCACTGTTTACCTCCATAAACACCCGCTTGTCACAACAAGCGTCAATCAAACCCACTGACAGGCCGGCCAGTTAGAGCCTAAACCAGCAGACAGGAATAAAGAGTGTATGTGACACGAGACGTAAGACATGGTAATGATGTTTTGGAAGCAGAGGAAAGGCTCAGACAGGCTTTGGTTATCTAAAGTTATCTGAAACTTGGCCTATATTTGAAATTTAAATATCTCTGTGAGCAGTAGAAGCCTATATCATGGAAAAATAAACTTTTTTTAAATAAAAGAGTTTGATATAATATGTCACTGTTAATGTTACAAAACATGCTGTTCACTCCTCAGTCCTGCAGCAGTTTAGCCCACCTATTCACATTGAAGAGATAAGCAATGCTGTTAGTGCAGGCAGTCTATAGTAGAGTTGCTGGAGTGGTAGATGTGCAGGAAAATTATTAAATATTAACTACTGAATGCAGCCTTGCACAGGATCCAGACATCTGACAGAAGTATGAAGATATTTTTTCCTGACATCCCTGAGGATTTTAGTCCAAACTTAGCAGTTTGCTCCATACATTTTAGACTTGAGGCACAATACAGTGCAACAAGTCAGAACAGCGGCCATTTACTTACAGCAGTCTTAAAGGTACAGTAACAACCATTTTAATTCTAAGGGATAGAGAGAGGAAAACTCTTATGACTGTATAACAAAACTCACTCTCCTGTCCCCTCTCTTTGTTCTTGAGAAGTTGGAGTTTCTGTTCTCGCTGCTGTTTCTCCAGCTCCTGCTCCACACGGTGCTTCTCCATCTTCCTCTGGTGCTCTAGCAGCTCCTGTTGGTGCTGGAGAGCCAACAGTTCCTGTTGATGCTGAATGAGGAACGTTCATATGTTAACATTAATCTGCATTATACTTACATTATGATGCATATAACAGTGCATTACAAGTAGATTGTTTGTACACTATCTACTTTGGTGCAGTAACTAGTGTAGTACCTACTGTGGTGGGGATTGTTAGAGTGCCCTTGACATTCTCCACTATGTGGACTCCTAAAATAGTGAATAGAGGATAGTTTCGGACATAACCTTTGTGCACTTTAGCAGGACATACAAATCTTAGGCTAGATACTTCAGCCTGAAAACCCATAACAATTACACACATTAAACTGTGATAATAAGCTCTGTAAGAGATCATACTGAAAGCACTTCTGATTAAGTAGATCAGAGAGGAACTGTTTTTTCTTCCCCCAGAATTCCCTCAGGAGCTCAGATGTGGAATACCAGTGCCTCAGGTGTGTGCTATAAATAACCACTCCAGATGAGCTGGCACCTGTAGCTGCAATGCTCTGCATGTGTATGTGTGTTGTCCATAGTTTGGTGCTGTTGTGCTGAAAGAACTTGAGATGTCTTTTATACTGAAAACAAGTTAGAGAAAAAAAAATAAAAATTATATATATATATATATATATATATATATATATATATATATATATATATATATATATATCCATGTCTCCACTGCAGTCTCTCAGGCACTCTGTCTAACACCTGCCTGCTCTCTAAATGCAACGCTTTCTTTCTGCCTTTTTGTATGACCTGGGTGCTTTACCGCAGCTGTGTGTTAGGGCTTCATTTGAATGTGGCTTGAAGTCTACCTCTCAAGGCAGCTGTGACAACACTAGGGCTGTCCCAAACTAGGCCTGTACCCAGGGGCAGTTAACCAAGTTAACTGGTAACTGTCCCCAGTGATGATCAAAACTCACTTACCACCAGTTTAGCTTGTTCATTTATTGATTAATTTCATGCAAAGACAAGAAAGACTATTATTACCACATGTGGGCATAACTGAACTTAAATGTTGGGTGATATACTATATTAATCATACATTTATTATACCCATTATAGACAAGACATAGACATAGTCAGTTTGAACACACTCGGGGGAGACTGGGTGGGGCCACTGGCAGATTTTGCCACAGGCAGATTTCATGTACAAAAAGCTGCCTACGCTATTGATCACATTTTAGGATATCCTCAGACCACAGCATTCAGACAGACAAAATGGCTCAGGAAAAACACCAGCTCAGATGGTAAAGTTCGTGTTGACATTCACAATTCTGTTCTATTGTAGATTAATTACAGATTTCACGGCCAAGTTAAAGGTGAAATATACTACAACCTCAAAATTAATGAGCTGTGTTATGTTATTTCAGTTTTCAAAGTTAAAACTTTAACTTGCAGGCTATCACTATATTTTCTTAAAATTACTGGAAAAAAATGTCTGAAAGGTAAAACAAAGTCCTGTTTTAACTGTTTACAGTGGCTACTGTTTCATGTGTTTACTTTAATAAGAGGATTCTGATATTGCATAGGTCTATCCCAAACTAAGGAAAATAAAAATAGGCCTGATTTTCAAGTAAATCTCAGCAGATCATGTCCTCAGAGAAAAATGTAACAAACCCATAACATGGTCTGCTATCTATATGAACATTTTAATTACAGTTTATAAACACGGTTGGCTGCATTTCCCACAACAATGCCTGACACACTTAACATTTTTTCCAGGCCTCCCTAATATTCAAATTTGTACTGTAGTACGTAAAATGCTGTCTGCAGAGTTCACATTCCAGCTTTTTGGAATTATCTTCATAATTTTTTAAGTGTATTCAAACAGAAAATTCTTGTACAGTACAGTACACAAATTATACATAAATAAAATAAGTGCATTTAGTCAACTGATAGAATCTTTTTAAACAAAGAATACTCAGACTGATCAGTTGACTGGTTGATTTTGAGGGGATAGTCCTACACAGCATCGCCATTCACCTAGCATGCACTGGTAATTACTGGCCAGGCACTCGCGCGTGGGGGAATCTGAGTAGCTGGGTCAATGGTCTGTTAAAGGAATGGTGTGTACAATGGGCCAAGGACATGCCTGCAAACCAGCCAGCATCTCGACCCAGGCAAAAGTCAACACAGCTCTGAGCATCTGCAGTGTGCAGAGCACCTAGAGGCACTCAGTAGTTAGGCCTATACCAATATTTGATTAATTTAATTAGACATAATTTCATCGGCCGTGTTTTCTTTGCTTTTGAGTTCTTTTTGTGCTCCGTGGCAAAACGTTGGCTCAAGATCATGAGCCAGCGGCTCACACAGCCGCTGATGTTTCCCGTTAAATTTTTGCTACCTCAGCTAGGTAGATTTAGGTATGCATAAATAGTGAAAAGAGAGGATGAGTGAGAGAGAGATGTGGAAAAGTCAAAAGAGGACATGTAAGAGGAGGTTAGGTTCTAATAGATGGCTGTACATGCTTAACTTTTAAAATCCCAGGCTTATTACATACTAAGGCTTATTATTCAGTAACTGCAAGGACTACAATGCAAATTGGCTTACTGAGTTATTCTTAGTTTACAGAAGTGTGTTGTAAAACTTTGGACCGCTGATGGGTCCTGGCAATTTAAGGAGTTTTAAGGTAACAGTCTGGTTACAGTTGAACTCATGCAACATAGATTTGAACCAGGCAGTGTTTTTCAGGCTAGGCCAGGGAGTAAAATGTGTGTGTGTGTGTGTGTGTGTGTATACTACAAGCAACAAGAAGCAATTCTGCTATGAACAAGGAACAAAACTAGTTGGCTAAATGGCTGTAGTAATACTGTAGTATTAACTAATTAATTAATTTGTTCTGCTCTTAGTGATGACCTTAAACCATAGAGAATTGTTGCAAACTTAATCATGTCCACCTGATTCTCACATTCATTTGCTCCTGGATGCTTGATGGTCTGAATCAGATGTGTAAAATAATAATTAAGAATCAGATTTTTCCAAAATTTTTGTTTGGTTGAACTAGATGTCAATACATGTGTTATTTTTTGGGACTTAATTGTAATATATTTTTGAAAATTAATAAAAATTTAATTAAATGTTAAAAATGTATACATCAATGTTAATTAATTGAATATTGATTAAATATGTTCGGCATGTGTGCCAAAGATCAAGAAAAATAAAAGAATACATTTAGAGATGAAAATCAAAGAAAGAAGTGAGTCTTCTGAAGTATGATATTTCTCACTTTCCCATAAATGAACAGTCATATCATAATTAAGCTGTGGACTGTGACCTATCACAAGGTGTGTACTGACCTTGATGTGCTCCTGCAGCTGGGCTTCATGCTGGCGTGAGAGCTGCTCGTGCTGCCGCTGAAACTCAGCAATGAGAAGCTGCCGCTGGACCTGCTGCTTATGTTTGAGTGCCAGGAGCTCCTGCTGCAGCTGCTGCTCTCGCACTCCCGGGTCCACTGCATCTGAGACCAGACCCGCGCCAGAGCCCGAACCAGCGCCAGGAGACTGATCCACACGCAGGTCCATTGGAATGGCTGCTGGGGGAACTCTCAGAGGCAGAGCAGAACTCAGGTCAACTGCAGAAAGAGAAAGAGAGAAAAATAAACAAAGATTTTTGTGATGCTTCAAAAAGGGCTACACAATATATTGTTGGTAATCATTACTGTGATATTGGCGTTTTTGATACTGGTACAGCAGAAGGCTGCAATACGCAAATGAGCTCTCCAACAAAAGTATTAAACTGTTAACAGTTCAAAATGAGTTTTTCTGTGGATGTTCTTAGTAACTGTTATGTTACCTTGCTGATTTTTGCAAGGCATATCACTTGTAATATGCAACAACATAACTGCAGCACTAGTATTTTGTCCATTTTGTAGTCCTGTATCATCTTTCAAAAACATTTTAAAGTTAAAATCAATCTGCCAGCAATCAAGACGTGTTTACTGACCTGTAGTTTAACTCTACTCTGTTGTTCTGCAGTGATGTACTGCTTTTTGTTGATAACTTGCATTGACTACTTTTGAATTATTTACAAACTACTAATTAAATACACCCAATGCAATTCATCAAGGCTTCAGAAGCATTCTTATGAATGTAAGAATTTGGTGCATATGATAAGGGCCACAGGAGAATCAATAGCAAAACATGTTAAGAATCGGCTACTTTTTACTTCACTTTTATTTCTTTTACTGGAGATCAAGCAGCCAGAACAGAAAGGGAATATGCTGGCGAAGGAGAGAGAGAAATAGACAGAGAGAGACACCAGTTCATTAAAGCTGCTTAATTATCCGATTCTTCGTTTAAGTGGCCTGCTGCAGGTCCCACAGGTTGCAGGCAGAGAAAGCAGTGTAGAGCTGTGCAGAGATCAGCTGGCCAAAGCCACAAAGAGGCCATTGAGGAACAGGCCCGGCGGTCCAGCGCTGCCTACATCAGGAAACACTCCAAGACCAACGGCTTCCTCCACATCAGCTCTGAATAAATAGTGGTGGTAGGGGGAAATATTTGTTTACAGGCTAACAAACAGCTCGAGAGGCGCTGATACGTTTACCTGCAGCTCTGTCTGAAGCTTGTTGCTAATGACCCTCAGGTCACAATGCAAATGTGCATGATTTCTTGCTCAGACACACATGGTTTCATGGTGTTTTCTTTTCTCTTTACATATAGACTCTCTCCCACTTTCTTCATCTCTCTCTCTCTCTCTCTCTCTCACACACACACACACACACACACACATACAAAACCATTGACAGACGCAGAGAAGCTATGATTCATTGTCACATTATCACTGGAAGCCATAGCGGTAATAGCTCATGGTACTTTTCAAGCCCATAAGGCTCTGGGGAAATTAACAGCATGGCACTCCTCAAGGTGTTTCTTTCATGTGGAAATAAATGAGGCACAGCCCGGCGCTCGCGGATTATCAGAGACGCAGATCGGAGCAGCGGAGCTGAGTTAGCAATACATGGCCAAGAGCAGCTGGCCAGCGTTGCATAAGCAGCACAGTACTATAGAACGTTAATAGCAGATTCTCTTCAGTAATGAACTGATGTATCTCTGCCTGCAGAATGCAAATGCACTCAACATGGTAAATGCTCTAGTACAGAGGCTAACTGCCTGGCTACTAAAGGCAGCTTCTAGCACTTCCTGGAAATTCAACATGACTGTTGCATGTAACACACTTTTGACAGATCTAGTTACAAACCTTGTACATACTTAAAAGATGCTAGGTGTACAGCTGAAGACGTCAAATAAACTTTTACAAACCCTGTTAATGTAAAAGGAATATAATATAATAATTTTAATAAATGCACACACTTCCCCATACTGTAAATGTAGATCAACCAAGAATGCTTGGTGTCTGATGTTTGCCTCTTTAGTGTTGTACTGGAGCTACAGGGCTAATGTAGCTAGAAAGTAATTAAAGCCAATAGCTACCAGTTAACATTATGCAAACCTCATACTTAAATCATCACACACTGTCCCCAATCTGTGTCAAGATGATAAATAATCTCAAGTAGACCTACTTATGTGGTTTCACACACTGTATGACAAACCACCTTAGCTAAAAACCATTTTTAGGCCTGATTTAATCTTTTTTCTATTTTTATTGATAAGTAGGGCTGTACAATATTGACATAAAATGGGATGTCCGATAAAGCTGTCATATATCATGAGGGTGATGTGAGAAGCAATAAATTATTAAAACAGTGTACCTCTGACTGGATTTACAAGTACAGACTTTTACTGATGTGTGAACAGAAATCTAACTAACAAAAAACAAAATTATAAAAGCACCATCTACTGTTGTGCAAAATAAAAAGAAACAAAGTAGTAACAGCTACTTACATCAGAACTGCAAGCATATTTTTGTGCATTGAAAGGCTAAGAAACGGTCAGAATTACCTCAAAAGATTTTTCTATAAATAGCTTTTTCTATTTTTTTCCTATTTTTGCTTTTTATTAATCAAATATGTTTGTTGTGACAGTAGACATTTCTGCCTTGCACACTTAAAACACAACAGTGGGTGTGAGAACAATCCTAATGTTGAATGCGGTTTTACAGGCTGGTAGTTCATTGGATGGAGGAGTTTTGCTTAAGTTACTTGTTTCCCAAGTGGGAAAGCAGGGTTCAATCCCAGCACAAAGAATCACTCATTAGGATGTTAACAGTTAGAGCCAGTAATGTAATGATGTCTCTCTGGCACTGTGTATATGAGATGATTTGATATGTTTATCGTGATAAGGATAAAAATACATTTTATTGTACATCCCTATTGATAAGTATGTCATATCATGTCAGAAGCCATATTTTTACAAATAGGCCTTATTAAATTACTGAACAGTAAACTGATTTGCAGCAAGTTTGTGATGATCTTTCCATATACTTTATGTTTTACAGACAACAGTACGGCAGAATCACTTAAGTAAATGTATGCGAGATTACTTAACAGCTTGATGCCGCCGAAGCAAGTGTGTGATGATTTGGGCATGCAGTCGTTACAATGCTAACTGGTGAGGTATTAGCTGCCATTACTTGCAAAACTAAAGAAGCAAACTTAGAACACCAAAACTGTCTTGGCTGATGACTAAATCTTAGCTTAACTATTCCTTTAAATTCCTGTATGCAAACTTACAGTCTCATTTATCACAGTGGTCCAGAGTAAGAAAGTGGATGATACTGCTTTATGAATAACTACAGCTAACACAGAGAAGAACTCCCACCGCTCAGATAATAGACTAACATTTCAGAGAGAAGAGGGTGCTGTCTTTAATGATTGATTTGCAGATGATAAAAGAGAGGGAAAGTCAAGAGATGTGTGAGTGTAGAGGAAAGGAGTTCAATAGAGACTTTGCCTTGTTTTACAACAGGGAGGCCTGCTCATGTTCGCACTTTGGGCCATATAAACACACACACACACACACACACACACACACGTTTACTGCATCCTTGCTGGATCTTGCTGCAAACAGCCAAACAGCTACACATGGTTATGGAAACATGGCGGCGGATTTTGGAGTTTGATCTCTTATGACTTCACACACCAAAACCATAGCAACACACCCACGGCGCCAACAAACTGACGCTTTCATAGCCAAGACTGGATGCATTTGTTTAACCGGCCAATATAATTCAAATCAGGCTGCAATAACATCTATTAGATGCTACAGCTCAGGTAATGACTAAAAGCTTGCCACAATTATAGAATTGTGTACAAAACTGTCTCCACCCCAAAAGAAAAGGATTTTAAAGGTTGGTAAAATGACAAAATGTGCACCCCCTCAGAAAAGGGGGCAACTAATTCATTTGATCAAGAGAGGACAGTAGTAACGAATGAGATACATACCAAGAGTACAGAGGAAATAAAGAAAACATACATATTTGTCCTCTTCTAAATGTGCAAGTAAAATGGACCACAAAACAAACTTGGGAGCTATGCATTATTCTTATCTTCACCCAGGAGTTAAAAGTTGTCAATTAACCTGTCTATTGACCATTTTCAAATAACACTGGATATGCAGCCATAGCCTTTGTTAAACCATAAAAGGTCCTGATAAGATTTATTACCAAGTCAATTTCCCATCTGCATCTGTATAGAGCTGAAGAATTAAAATAGGTAAACCTATGTAAAAGAAAATGACAGATCAGAAAAAAGAATTGCTTAGAGTGCGAAAAGTAACGCTACAACAGCCCCTCCTGCACTTCACCCATAACAAGAGAGAGATTCTTCAGTTAAATATCCCAGGACAGAAACCTTTCATTAAATCCACGCTGCAGCTATTCAGTGGAGTAGCTGTGAAAGCAGAGTGCAGAGTGTGTGGGTTTCTTACCCATCAGTGCTGAGGAGGAGTGTAGGGGAAGCCCTCTCTGGGACAGCCTGTCTCCGTCTCTTCAGAGCAGGCCAGTTCTGATCACCGTTGCTACTCCTCGTAGTCTCGTTCTTTCTCTTTCCCACTGTCTCCTTTCTGCACTCTCTTAACCCCCTCCCACTTTCTGTTCACGCCCTACTGCTTTGCCTCCATCTCTCTCTCGCTCTCTCTCTCTTTCTCTCTGCCTGATGACATCAGGGGGCTGTCTATGACTGAGTGTTTACGTGAACTGGTCCCACAGACACAAACACACACACACACTCACTTCAACTCTGACATCTACACACACCCACAAAGTGTCTGCTCTAGTTAACCCACACAAGTCAAGAGTTCTTGCTTTCATTTTCCTCTTCCATACCCTTCAAATGTAACTGTATAATTAGTGACTTACACAGTGAATTACATTTACATTTGATTTGTATTCTGAGACATTGATAACTTAATGATTAAGTCTTCATGCAATGCATTATCAATATTTCATAGATTTGTCAGGATTTTTTAAACTTCATGCACACAAACTTTAGAAAGTGAAAACATACATCAACGTAATCAGCCTGAATGGCCTTCAACGTTGGACTGAAAATAGCCATTCTTATTCTTATTCTCTGAAGGTAAACTGCTTGAAGTTCATCAAACAAATATTAGGCCCAAAGTTTTATTGCACACTTCTATAACCTAAGAATAGCTTATTCAGTTTCCACTGGAGTCC